TCAATTTTTGATGTCATCTTTCAATTGACGACACTGTGTGAAACAAAACAGGGAGAAAAAAATAGCCCTTGCTGAGTTTCTTGCCGGTTCTTCTCAGTACAAGGTCTCCCGCCGTAGATTTACGAACCGATGGCGTAGCGTTTGACTTTCACAAGAGCTTGTAACAGCCTAGACTGAATAAATGAGTTTGAATTTGAATTTGAATTTGCGTCGGTCGGCACCTCCATGATCGTCCGACGCATCCGCCTCCTGGGGCTGGAGGTGGCCCTCGATAAAACGAGGGCCATGGCGTTCCATGCCCCAAGACGCAAGACCCCACCGGGGCTCCGTGTCCGGGTTGAGGGGATCCAGGTTCATGTCGAGATGCACATGAAGTATCTCGGCCTGACCCTGGATCCCAGGTGGAGCTCCCGGCTGTGCGCCGCCGCAGCCGGACTCGGACGGCTCCTCCCCAATGTGGGAGGGCCGAGGGCGTCGTGCCGTCGACTTTATAATGGAGTGATAAGGTCGATGGCACTGTACGGAGCCCCGGTGTGGGCGGAGTGCCTTTCGTCCCGCACGAAAGCCCTCTTGCGAAGGCCACACAGGGTCATCGCGGCCCGGGCCGTGCGGGCTGCGTATATAGATATGCTAGTTCAGTACGTCCCCGTCGGCTGAGCCGAACTGAGTTAGCATTTCCAAACGATAAACGCGTAATTCCTGCTCCAATACGTCTCAGACGGTGATGTACTGCAGTAGGATTTCGAGTTATAAAACGCGCTACAAAGTAGGGGTCATCCTAATTCAGTTTGTCAACTAGAAACTGATACTAAAGGATGGCTAAGAACTAATAATATAGATTTCTGGTGTAAAGATAGAGTAGGTACGTAGCATGACAAAATAATTATCTATCAGGTGGCTAAGCTCAGGTCACAACACTAACCTAACCTAACCCACTTATCACGAATCTGTCGTCAATAATATGGTATTTTTCTATTACTTAAATATGTAGATAATATGGGGACAACAACTACTAGCATGCACATTATGGCAGACGTAGGTTATTTTTTTTTTGTGTGCGATAGCTATATCGGCATAGAGAGACGTATCGTGTTAGCTTTTCTAAAAATATTTTGTGGATTCAGCTACTAGAAATCCTACCCCAATACGTCACGTAAGCTCGACGAATAAGATGAGGGTTCCCAATACATTTTAATGCGTATCACTTAGAAATCCTACTGCAGTACATCGTCGTCTGAGACGTATCGGAGCAGGAATTACGCGTGTTTATCGTTTGGAAACGCTAACTCAGTTCGGCTCAGCCGACGGGGACGTACTGAACTAGCATATCTATATACGCGTGCGGGCTTACCGCACCGAGATCGATGCCCTGGTACTGTCCCAGGTGCATCGACACAGGGCCACGGCGAGAGAGAGGGGCGAGCGGCCCGTGAGGGAGGAGGTACAACGGGTCCGCAGACGCAGAGGGAGGCTCTGCGCCGATGGGTGGAGGCACTCGCCAACCCATTGATGCGATCCGTCCGGTGTTGGAGGAGTGGGTAGGGCGCCAGCGGGGCAGTCTCACCTATCGCCTGGTGCAGGTACTGACCGGACACGGGTGCTTCGGCCACTACCTGCATCGTGTCTCCCGATCAACTGTGCTTGTTGTACAAAACGCAAGTGCGGTCCTGCGTAGAATATTGCTCGCACCTCTGGGATGGCTCCGCCAAGTACTCGCTCGATGCTTTGGATGGGTTACAGCGGCGCGCGATCCGCATCATAGGCGATGAGGAGGTGACTGAACACCTTGAACCTCTTCAATTACGCCGTGACGTGGCGTCACTGAGCGCGTTCTATCGTCTGTACCACGGCGAGTGTTCCGAGGAGTTATTCTCTCTTATACCACCTTCTCCTTTCCTTCGGAGGACCACGCGCGCCGGCCTACGTTGACATCGTCTAACTGTGGCCACAATTCCAACGCGTACAAAGAAATTTGGTGACTCATTTCTTTGTCGCACTATCCGTAAATGGAATGCTCTGCCCGCTCACGCGTTCCCTCCCTCTTACAACCTGGGATTCTTTAAAAGAGGCGTGAAGAAGCAACATGCCGGCCGGCAGGGTGAAGATGGCTGGTGTGGTAGGTAAAACTGCAGTATCAGCTATCTTCACGTCTGGACTTCACCTTCACTTAACACCAGGTGGGGTGGAGTCATTTGTCGGACCTATCTATAAAAAAAAAAGGTAGTGGCCACCTCCCCCGACGACACGGCCGAGCACACACTGATCGGAGCGCTCTCATTGCCAAGTATGGTTCGAGCCATGCTTGGCAATGAGAGAAAGAAAGAAAGAAAGAAAAATAAATTTATTTGAGACAACACACACACAACAAACAGAACAAAACACACATTTTTTGACGTGACAACGTCTTAAATTAGGTTGCGGCTGGGAGTCACTTATGAAAAAGTGTAACGCTCGGTAACGTTACGATGAGTCTCTCGTGTTAAGTTTAAGTTTACATGTACAATGTTTTAGTAAACAAAATATATTTCTATAGTTAAAATTTGTGCAATTCTTATTTTCATTCAATTCCTTGTTCCTATTGTGCAATTTAATTATATTCATATCAATAAATATTCTACCGAGAAAAAGACGTTGTCACGTAAAATCTTCGCCCGTAAAACCGACTTTACAGGCAACCATTTTTTTTGTCTCTAATCGGTCCCAACTCAGCATGTGCCGATGTTGCCATCAGCGCTGGTCTTCCGTTGGAACCGGTTTAGTGACGACACGAAACAATAACATTTACAAGTAATAAAATAAACATAACAAAATAAAAACAAAACAACAATGCGAGTTCAGGGGGGCGCCACTATCGCCATGTCAATATTGGTTGCACCCGGAGCACAGGTTCCGAACGCGGCCCCGATTGACATTGCCATTCGGAGACAATCTTAGTAATCTGTGTATTGTACTTCTGATTACTTTTTCTTTTTAGGGTTCCGTACCTCAAAAGGAAAAAACGGAACCCTTATAGGATCACTTTGTTGTCCGTCTGTCCGTCCGTCCGTCTGTCAAGACCGCTTTTCTCAGGAACGCGTGGAGGTATCAAACTGAAATTCATACCTTATACTCAGGTCTACTGTCCCTTGGAGCTATGAAAAAATCAAACTTCTAAGCCAAAGCAATCAAAAGATACAGCCATTTATGCCGCAAATTTTCGAAACTCGCACGGGAATCAAAACCTACAGGGTACTTCCCGTGAACTTAGAATCTTGAAATTTGGTACGAAGTAACGTCTTATAGTACAGATAAAGGAAAAATTGCGAAAACCGTAAATTTTTAGTTACATCATAAAATAAAAAATATTTTTGAATATTTTTGTACGGAACCCTCGGTACGCGAGTCCGACTCGCACTTGGCCGGTTTTTTTCTTTATAAAATGTAATCTACAATTTAGACAATTTAGAACATGGAAAGCTGCCTCCTTCTACGAGGTTGTGATGGGGCAGGAGGACGCTCCGGCCGCTTCTCTCCGGCGTAGACGGGTGGGCCGACGAAGATCGGCGGCTTTGACCGCCGATCTTCGTCGGCCCTAAGGTGGTCTGGGCGTCCTTGGTGCCATTCGGCATAGGCCACCCCGTCTGGGGATTACCTAGTACCCTAGAGTGATCCCCCATAGGCGCGTCGCCCGGTCCACTCGTTGGGCCGGGCCAACCCGAGGACGCTCTGGTGTAGTGGCGATCCCGAAGCGCCCTCATAAGGGCCGAGGAGGGTACCGGTGGTTTTTAACTATGACGCATTTGCAAAAAAAGTCAAACCCATAACTTAAACACGAGATTTAAGAACAAGCTTGCCGTTCCATGTTTCAGACTCCAAAAATCTAGAGGTTCATTTCTGGGATGTAGTATTGCATTGTTTAACAAAGTTCCCCAAGATCTGATTGAGCTTCCACTAACCAAATTTAAATCTCAGATTAAGAATATTCTTATGAATAAGGGCTATTATAAAGTTAATGATTATCTAAATGATCGTAATGCATGGACATAGTGTTTCTTGTAATTTCTTATTTGATGGGTATGAGTCAGTTTTGTAACAGTAGTATGGTACCTATCTAATGCCGCTTCCTATATATACTAAATATAAAATTTGTTGTAACTATATATCTATACCCTAAATAATGTAATGGAAGGTGACTTCAAAAGTATGTCTGAAGTCATCTTTCAACTTGACGACTCTGTATATATCAATACAGGGAGAAAAAAGCAGCCCTTGCTGAGTTTCTTGCCGGTTCTTCTCAGTACAAGGTCTCCCGCCGTAGTTTTGCGAACCGATGGCGTAGCTTCTTGACTTTCACAAGTGCTTGTAACAGCCTAGACTGAATAAATGACTTTTCATTTCATTTCATTTAGTGGGTAGGGCTGGCGTTGTTCCGCGCCGGGGAGTCCCACACACGTCGCGCGCCTGGCAAGCGCGCGGGGTGGTGCGTAAATGCATTTTCCACCGTCAAAAAAAAAGAAAAAGGTATCGGTCTTATACTTTTTGACACTAGTATGTCCTGTTTCCGAATAGCAGTACATAACTTCCGCTTATTGCTATAATGAGTAACTGCTATTTTTGGGTGGCGGTTGCGGTAGCGTTATCAATCATGTATATTTTGAATTTAAATGATTTTTTTAGGCTGAAATGAATTGCTTCGCTTTGTTTTTGCATTGCTTTGCTTGCTGATATAGTGTTGTGTTTTTTGATTGACTTTTTTATCTTAATTTTTTGTTACTTGAAAGCGAAGGATGTTAAGTCCATACATCCTTTCAAGTAATAAAATTTTATTTTCACATGTCTTTTTTTTGTGTCACTAAACAGGCCCTGCCAGAATAACAGCGCTGGTGCGACACAATGTCGCATCAGCTAATGCTGAGGCAGGGTCCTGGTTAGCCCTGAGGTTTTTTTTTTATTTATATCTGTAATGTGTAATATCTGGGTTAATAAAATTATATTCTATTGTATTGTATATATATAGTGACCGGATGCGTGTAGTTGTGCAGCGTGTGCATCTGCCTGTCGACCAGGTCCCTCGTGATGTATGCGGCCACGAGGCGGGCTAGCCCCCGCCCCCCGCGGCCCGCGGCGCCCCACCACCCCCTCGCGGCGCCCCCCCCGGGCCCCGCCACGCACGCGTACACCGCGCGGCACGCCAGCCACTCCACCGCCCCGCGCCAGCGACCCTCTGCCGACCATACGCACGCGATATAAAACTTTGCAAGGGACCAAATCAAATCAAAACAAAAACCTTCATCTCACATATTATACACAATAAATAAAACAAAAAAAAAATGTGTGCGTATACTAGTGTACACACGTAAGAAGTGAAACTTCTTTATGGCCTTATTTCTTTCGAAAAATGATCTACATGCAACTTTCCAGAAATATATATATAGGCGTGCGCTAAGATTTTTCAAAAACTCACCCACTAAAGGGGTATAACTAAACCTTACCTTACCTTGTGTGAAACACGAATATTTGCTGTCGATACTTTTTTTTTAAAGTTGACAGAAGAAGCAATTGTTCGGATGAGGTAAATAGTGCTCTTTTAAAAAAAAAATGGCGCATAACCAAAAATGGTGACGCGTAACCGAAAAAAAAGTGACGGTAATTTTTTTTCCAATGCCGATAAAGAAGTTTCACTTCAAAAAAAAACCTTCATTGGACATATTATACACAATAAATAACACAAAAAAAATATAGTGTTGCGGCCCTCCAATCCCCCGATTTTAGAAGAGGACGATAGCATCGCATTGTCGCTGCGTATTTGCTATTGATTATTATTAGGCATATTATTATTATTCTACTATAGTTCGTGACCGCCCGTCTTATTTCATTCCTTTAACTGCTGCCTCATTGTCATCTCATTTTTACTATAAATTACTGGGTTTTATTCAAATGACTGACGACCTCCGTGGCCGAGTGGTTTGTACGCCGGGTTTCATGGTTGTCGCCGACTCGAGAGGTCCCAAGTTCGAATCCCGGTGGGGGCAGATGTTTGTGTGATGAATACGAGCATTTGTACTCCAGTCATGGATGTTTAATATGTATTTATATAAATATACTTATATATGTACAGTATATGTATTCTATCCGTTACCCTAGCATCCCATAACACAAGCCTTATAGTGCTTACTTTGGGGCTAGGCTAATCGGTGTGAGTGTCGGAAATATTTATTTATTATTATTATTATTATTCAAGTATTAAAGCCACGTTACGTAAGCTAATACAGAAAGAGAAGCAGGGGACACGTTGATAGGCTGCCGATTCGGCCCAGTACCTTGTTCGTGTATGAGCGGGGTCGTATGAAACATATGCGCGTAGTGCGCGGGTAGAGGCGCCGTTCCATTGGCGGCGGCCAGCAGCGGCGCGGGCAGCAACCGCAGCGACACCGGCAGCAACGTCTCTACGAAGCGCGCGTCCCTGCAATAATAACCAATATAAACAATGGACTGATCGTCTAAATTGTTTTTCATAAACACATAATCTATATATGGACGTAGTTACGCGAAAACGTTCCAACCCACAAGTCACTCGAAAATGAGTTACCATAACCAGGGTACTATTTTTGCCATATTACATCATGTGCACACAAAGATGCTAGTATTTTTAAGTTAGTTTCATCAATAAAGTTTAACCCAAATGTTCCAACCCACCATTATGCCAAGGACGTGTACTCAAAATAAAGTAAAAACATTACATGCATACTGAAACATATTGTTAAAAACTCTTAATAGAATAACATATCGTTATAATGTTCCACTTGTCTTGGAACATTATACTAAATTCATAAAACGCACATTTAATGGTTTCTTAAATGATCCATGTGGGTTGGAACGTTTTTGCAAAATCTTTATACATTTTTTATTTCTGCAAAAATGTTCCATGTAATTTGAAACCCTTTAGATTAATCCATACTGTTTTTTTAAGCTGCGAACACTGTTCTAAATAAATTGAAACCTTTTATTATAATATATTATTTTCATATTTTTTGCTATAAACAATCCACATATACTTGATCCATTTTTGCTATTAAATATGTTCTAGAGAAAAAGATATTTTTTACCAAAATAATAACTATATATATTTGGACGTAGTAACGCGAAAATGTTCCAACCCACAGCAACCCCAATTTGCAATTTACACACTTTTTCCCTGTAATTATTTCAGGCAAATACTATTGGTTTAACTATGGAATGCCAAACTGATTATTGAATGATATGCATATTTTTTGTAAATACATAATACAAGGGGCATATAAATAGGTAAAACGAGTTTGAAATGTTTTTGCTAAATTAATTTTGTATGAACCTTGTTAAATAGCAATTATGCATAAACTTTCCAAAACGAATTTAAGTGTATTATTTTATAAAAATAAACCAAAAAGAAATATGTAAAATAATAAATAACAATGAGGAACATACAAAAACAACAAAAAATATATTTGAAAATGTATTACAAAAAAATAGAACGTGATCTTTTGAGCTTAGAACCTATGCCAAAAATTTGTTGATATGGTTCCAAAAGTTATCAAAAACTTATATTATAAACATTCAATTTTCATCATCGTATTCTATGATCTCGAAGTCCGGAACTCCACCAAACCCATCAACATCATCAGTGCTTCTTCAGAACTTTGAAGCGTTCTATAAAATTGAAGGCAATCCTCGGGTATGTAGTGGTACATGGATTGTAAGTCCACTAATTTCGCTGGAGCAATCGGTTTGTCGTTAGGCCACAATAAGCAAAAATCAGATTCTTTTATGTATTGCAGTTCTCGTTTTATTCTTTTATCAATTTTCAACTCATTGAAATCGTCTTCCATCGTAGACCGCATAAAAATAGAAAACATTTTATCTTTATCCAACTTAATTTCTTTTGTATGTAGCCAACTAACTTTAGATGAGTCTGTAAACTTCTTCCTATTGATAATCTTCTTTTCCAGTTTAGTTGTACTAAAAAAATCAGTCTTTGTCATTTTGTAAACTTGAAGAGGTTTAACTTTTTTACTTAGTTCTACAATAGTGGTATCCATAGTGCATTTAATGATACTGGGCATTGTTATGTATTGGTAGAAGGAGAGGTAGAAGAGGTGCACAGGAAGTGGATTGCCTTCAATTTTATAGAACGCTTCAAAGTTCTGAAGAAGCACTGATGATGTTGATGGGTTTGGTGGAGTTCCGGACTTCGAGATCATAGAATACGATGATGAAAATTGAATGTTTATAATATAAGTTTTTGATAACTTTTGGAACCATATCAGCAAATTGGCATAGGTTCTAAGCTCAAAAGATCACGTTCTATTTTTTTTGTAATACATTTTCAATTTTTTTTTGTTGTTTTTGTATGTTCTTCATTGTTATTTATTATTTTACATATTTATTTTAGATATATTTATAAAATAATACACTTAAATTCGTTCTGGAACGTTTATGCACAATTGCTATTTAACAAGGTTCATACAAAATTAAATTTAGCGAAAACGTTTCAAACTCGTTTTACCTATTTATATGCCCCTTGTATTATGTATTTACAAAAAATATGCATATCATTCAATAACCAGTTTGGCATTCCACAGTAACACCAATAGTATTTGCCTGAAATAATTACAGGGAAAAAGTGTACCGCTAAAACACAAAATTGCGTTTATCTCAAAATGGGGTCGCTGTGGGGTTGGAACGTTTTCGCGTAACTACGTCCATATATAATAATGAAATCCGTTTTCCGTTGTCACGACATAACATGAAAACGGCTTGACCGATTTGGCTGTTTTTTTTGCAGTTTTCTAATACTCTGTACAAGGTTCTTACGGAAAAAAATATAAAGAAAATCTCTCAGAAAGATTGAAAAATATAACGTAACGAATGTCAACGTCATTCAATTTAAAACAAAAAATCTGTGATAATCTGTGACACCATATCGATAACCGCGCTGACAAATGTCAACATCGTTCAATTTAAAACAAAAAAATCTGTGGTAATCTGTGACAGGAACAAACACTTATTAGCAAACAAAAAACTTCTTAGTCTTTAAAACAAAACGAACTTTATCAAAAACTTAATAAAATTATTGTTAGCGCGGTTATGGACTAGCTGACCCGGCGAACTTCGTACCGTATAGTTTATCAAAAAGCATTAGAATAGAGAGAAGCAGTGAAGGGTATAAAGGCTATTAGTTGCTTTCTAGAGCGCGCGTGGTATTGAGCTCAGTGTTTACTTCAAAATGCAAAGTTGTTCAATAGCGATTTGTAAAAACATGAGTGAAATTGAACCCTATGGAATAAACACTATTATGAAAATATATATGTTGTTTTTTATTTAATAAAAATTAGTAAAGTCCTCAGGTATGGCGAGACCAGGGAAATAAGGATTCATTTTTATATGGAGGATATTATAGATTCCAGTTCAAATTGAACTCGTACATAAGATAGGTCAGCTATACAAAATAAAGTAGTGCATCAAAGCTACGCTAAGGCGGTACGAAGTTCGCCGGGTCAGCTAGTATATAGATAAATTTGTAGATAAACTATCGTTGTGGAACAGCAACCCCATACACTCCTTTTAGGGGGGAATGTAAATGAAGAAATCCCATATAAAACATGAAACGGAAATACTTTACGAGCGTCACACGCGACAATATACACTCGCGAGCAAAAGTTTGGAATCACTTACTTGAAATTAGTTCCGCGCGATCCTGCTAACTAAATATTTTTGAAGTATCTTATAATGACATCATTTTAAAGGTTCAACTCAACTTTAAATTGATACCAAATTCATTCAAATCGAGCCAGATGTTAAGGAGCTATCCCGGATTAAGTGAAGGAGAACGACGATTCTTCATTAAGGTCTATGAAGAATCGTCTTTAAGCTTCATCAGCTTCTGAATTGATTCTTGTAGGATACCTTTCCACTCCTCAATCAACGCCGATTTCAGCTCATTCAGACATGAAGGAGTAGGAGTTCTGGAACGAACCTTCCTCTTCCAATTATCTCACACGTGCTCAATGGGATTCAAGTCAGGGCTGAGCGTTGGCCAGTCCAATATGGCGATACCGTCATCTTCGAGGTATTCAGTTGTTACACGGACAGTGTGACAACGAGCGTTATCGTGCATAAGGAGGAAGTCATCACGACATTGGGATCCAGATGTCCCAGCAGAATATCGGAAATGTTCCGGTCCGAAGTTAGACCGCATCCTCGTCCCCCGCCAGGCACGAAAACAAGCTCGGTTTTACCGTCGACGCAAATGCCGTCCTACATCATAGAAGAGCCGCATCCACAAGCCATTATTTCAGCGAAACAGCACTGCGCAAATCACTTCTCAGGTTGCCAGTAGATCCGACCTTACAAACACATCCTGCTCTCGTCGGAGAATAGAACTTGCATCCATTGTTCAACCACAATCAATATGGGTGTGAGTAAATTGAAGGCGTGGTTGTCGGTAAGCTGCCGTGAGTTTCGGGCTTGTGGCAGGCTTTTTTGGAGTTAGATTCGCTTGCTGGAGTCATCGACGAACTGTCCACTCGCTGGCTGCTACCCCACGAACATCTCGGAGCTCCTGTTGGATGTCGACATCAGTTATATGCCGATTTCGGAGGGAGGTTGACACGATAAAACGGTCATCCCTCTCCGATGTGCACCGGTGCCGTCCAGATCTCGGTCTCGGTATAAAGCCACCAGTCTCCCGAAAGCGCTTGTAAACTTTCGAAACACAGGACTGGCTTATGGGGAGCCGGTGAGCGACAACCCGTCGGTCGAGCCCTTCTTGCAATAGGGCTACGATTTGTGCCGCTTCTGCAGGTGTCGCTACCATTGTCGTACAAGGTAAAGGGTCAAAAGTAGCGGAGATGCGTACCGGTCAACGCGTGAAAGTCGACTGATAAAGAAACAATCGCTTTTCATCTCGCGCGGCGCCGGCGCCGAGGGAATCATTTCGTGGACGTTTCGGGTTCGAGCATCGCTTTCAAAACGAGGTGGTAGTTGTGGTCCCGCGGGTAGCCCTTCGCTTCTTCATCGCCCTCGGCGCGGTCGAGCCCATCGGGTGAGACCCACGAGAGAGGCCCAGGGAGCCACCTGCGGGCGATGGACTCAACGGGGTAGGGTCTCGTCCGGGGTAGGTATGAAACTTGGTTTTTCGGCCTGCCTGAACTTTTTAACAAAGTCTGTGAGCATTTCCGAAAGCTGGATCAGCAGGCGGGTTGTCGCTTTTCGGGCAGCCGCGGCGGCGGGTCCGGGCCCGCGGTGGGGTCTTCACCGGGTAGCGGGGCAGCGGGGCAGCGGGGGTGGGTCCGTTGGCGGTGTATTATTCGCTCGACGGGATTTGGGGCGGCTGGGGGGCGAGGGAGGATTTATGGGCGAGGCACCATTAACGCGGCCGGCACGCGCTCGCTCCCCTCGGTGGGGGACTGGTTCGGTGTGTGGGCCACTGTAGTGGTGCGTCGGTTGTGCGCTTCGCGGTGTCGCGCGGGGCACGCGATGCGGTTGGCGATCTGCCATCTGGGGAGCGATTGCCTAACGAGATCGCTTAGGCTATCGCTATCGCTAACGATTTCATTATCTCATTTCTAACCGCTGAAGGTTTTGAAATGACTCGCGCTCATTTTTTTCTTTTGCTTTTTAATAACAATATTAAAGAAAACGAGCGTAAGGTATTTGAAAACCTTCGGGGGTCAGAAGAAAACAAAATGAAATCGTAAGCAATATCGATAGCCATAGCGATCCCGTTAGGCAATGGACCCCTGGACAGGTTCGCAGATCGAACACTAGGTGGCGTCAGCGAGCATATTGCAAATCCAAAAGCCAAATGCGAACATTGTTGATGTTAAAAAAACTCACACACACAAACACCTTTGTAATATAGGTATTTCTGACAGCCCTCTGTGCAGAGCCTGCCTGGAGGCGGATGAGACGAGCGCCCGTCTCCTACTGGAGTGCAGGGGCGTCGCAAGACATAGGACTTCTCTAATGGGAAGCCCGAAGACAATAGTGGAGGCCTGCAGCAACATTCGGGGACTGCTGAGCTTTCCGGAGGAGCTGGGATGGCAGGACCGATGCCAATCCCCACGCAAAATAGGCACTGGGTGTCGAGTTGCGGAAACAGCCCGCCGTACTACTAAGACTAAGACTAAACTCACACATAATAGAACGCCCAACCGGTAGATACATACCTCAACATCTGCGTGTAGTGATGCGCGAGTCCTTGCTTGGCGCGAGCACTCAGCTCGTACAGCGCGTCGGATAGTAACAGCGCGCCCAGCGCCAGCCCGTGACTGTCCGAATCTGGCTGCATCACGCATGCCTCCAGACCCGCCCTGAGTATATTATATACATTTCATCATCATTCAACCCCATCATCTTGATGCGTGGCTATCCACAACCGTGCGTTTTTGACGTGACAACGTCTTAAATTAGGTTGCGGCTGGGAGTCACTTATGAAAAAGTGTAACGCTCGGTAACGTTACGATGAGTTTAAGTTTACATGTACAATGTTGACGTGACAACGTCTTAAATTAGGTTGCGGCTGGGAGTCACTTATGAAAAAGTGTAACGCTCGGTAACGTTACGATGAGTTTAAGTTTACATGTACAATGTTTTAGTAAACAAAATATATTTCTATAGTTAAAATTTGTGCAATTCTTATTTTCATTCAATTCCTTGTTCCTATTGTGCAATTTAATTATATTCATATCAATAAATATTCTACCGAGAAAAAGACGTTGTCACGTAAAATCTTCGCCCGTAAAACCGACTTTACAGGCAACCATTTTTTGTCTAATTTTTTTACCACGTACGACAAAACTATGGAATATATTGTCGCCAGCAGTGTTTCCGGACCAATACGACCCAAAAACCTTCAAAAAAAGAGCGTACTTCTTCCTTAAAGGCCGGCATCGCATTAGTGATACTCCTGGTGTTGCAAGTGTTCATGGGCGACGGTGATCACTTACCATCAGGTGAGCCGTCTGCTCGTATGCCACCTATAACATTAAAAAAAAACATATAATTTTTATTATTTTAAAGCATATAACTGCTTGATGTTTAAATCTAAAGAAAATATAACTAGAAAAATTCCACGCGGACCAGGCAGCAGACGGGACTCGAACCCGCACCCTTCGCAATCCGGGCGAATGCACTGACCAATTATGCTACCGCGGCCTTCACGTATACATACATAGATAACACGTTTATTTATATGAGCAGCACACTGATCAAGAGACAAAATTAACAATCCAATGTCCAGTCAAGAGCTCAAACAGTACCACGCTATGTGAAACCAGCCTTTCAGCCATTTTCCATTAAGAAATACATATTTTTTTTATTATTGTTTCTTTGGACAGATAATAAGAGAATTTTTGAAGTGAAACTTCTTTAGGCATGCTTGACTAAGGGGGTAAATTGGCGAATTCGATACGCGTTACGAAAAGTGTCACCAGTGCCTCATCGGTAAACAATGACCAATCTAAGCACGCTTAACTTGGAGGGTAAACTGGCGAATGCGTTACGAAAAGTGTCACCGTCACACATATACATATATATACAGATGGAGCTAAAGAAGTTTTACTTCAGTCCTGTGGTCATAAGCACACTCACTTTTTTTTATTTTATTCCACTAAAACATTGTACAAATTAATTTCAAACTATTGATGTCCCAAGTATAGTCTAGAAGACAAAAAAAAACCGGCCAAGTGCGAGTCGGACTCGCGCACCGAGGGTTCCGTACAAACCTGCAAGGTTTACAAAGTTCGTTCATTACTACAATCCAGTCATAACTATGGTATTTTATTGCAAAATGAAATTCATAACATTACAATGGGGAAAGATGGAGGAGCATAAATTTAAGACAAAGATCTCTTTATCGTTTAAGTAATCATGTTGCCCTCCCCATACATAGTATAATAACTCGCGGTCATTGCTGTAACTACAATTATGTTTACAATCACAATTTTTTTGGTGGTATAACTACTTAAAATTTTAAGCTTTTCGGAATTTTTCTGTTACCTGTGCTGTAAGCTATTGCTTCTTACCAAATTTCGAGATTCTATGTCAACGGGAAGTGGTCTTTAGGTTTTAATTCCCTTGCGTGTAGTTGCGAGTTTCAAAATATGCGGTATCAATGGTTGTACTTTTGCGTTTTGCGTTTCTGCGTTGACTTAGAATTTTTTTTTCACGGGTTAAAGGCAATTAGATCTAAGTATTTGATATGAATTTCAACTTGATAGCTCTACGCGTTCATGAGGAAAAAAGTAATAAGTTTATATTTATTAAAAAATATATATTTTGTAATGTAACTAAAAATTTAAGGTTTTCGGAATTTTTCCTTTATGTGTGCTATAAAACGTTGCTTCATGCCAAATTTCAAGATTCTAGGTCGACTGGAAGTACCCTTTAGGTTTTGATTCCCTTGCGAGTACTTGCGAGTTTCAAAATATGCAGCTTAAATTGCTGTTTCTTTTGATTGCGTTGACATAGAAGTTTGATTTTGTTACAGCTTAAAGGTATTATAGACCTGAGTATTTGGTATGAATTTCAATTTAATACCTCTACGCGTTTATGAGGAAATGGGTAGTAAGGTTAAAATTATTAAAAAAAAAACATATTATGTGATGTAACTAAAAATTTATGGTTTTCGTAATTTTTCCTTTATCTATGCTATAAGACGTTGCTTGGTACCAAATTTCAAGATTCTGAGTTCACGGGAAGCACCCTGTAGGTTTTGATTCCCTTGCAAGTGTCGAAAATTTGCGGCATAAACGGCTGTATCTTTTGATTGCGTTGGCTTAGAAGTTTGATTTTTTCACAGCTTCAAGGGACAGTAGACCTGAGTAATTGATATAAATTTCAGCTTCATACCTCCACGCGTTCCTGAGAAAAAGGGTCTTGACAGACGGACGGACGGACGGACAGACGGACAACAAAGTGATCCTATAAGGGTTCCGTTTTTCCTTTTGAGGTACGGAACCCTAAAAATGGTCCTGATGTTATCATCAGTAAGTACTGATGATACATAAGTATGTACAACACGTGGTTTTCGACTATGTCAAAGATCTTTTTACACCCTGTATAATGTTAACTCACGTGTAAGGCGATAATATTTCGTCAGTCAACTGTAAGGCGCGAGTGAGATGCGGCTGGAACCAATCCGGGGCCAGCACGGGCCGAGAACTGCTGCCTTCAGGTCCTTCAACGCTCCACGACGACAATTTCTCCGCTGTTGAACACACCGACATATATACTTGCTATACTCGCATACATAGATCGAAATATTTTTTACATTTAAATGGTTATAATTCATATTTGTTTATCACTAATAAAATAAAACTACTTTTTTACGGGTTAATGCATGAAACGTCAATAAATAAATAAAGTTTCGTGCATTAACCCGTAAATAACTAGTTTTATTTAATGGTTATAATTCTTTATTTAGACATTCATACTGAAAGGCGTCATAATTATGACCGATTGTGATTTTATTTTATTTTTTTATTTTATTATTTTATTGACAAAGATTCACCAACAACATATAATTTTACATTACAATTTGAAAAAATATATAAATACCATACTTAAAGATATGCTTTTTAATAGGTGAATACAACATTCACATAAATACAAATAAACTACAATGACAGATTAAACAAACAAAAAAATATATACACCATCGTGAAAAACAGGTATACTGAATCATAATATTATTTAGTCTGTGTTACGGTCTAATTTTATTTTTTCCACAAACAACCTCTTATATACTCGCTCAGTATTGTGGAAAATGTCGACACTGCAGTCTTGTAAATCATTGTAGGTACGCATACACCGGTATAGAGGAGCACACTCACCAAGTCTAGTATTGTTGCGAGGGAGATCAAAGCTTTTTGACATCGGATGTCTAGGTATTCGATAAGGGACTTTAATATTCACCTGTTTAATTAGATTTGTACAAATCAATTTTCCATTGATAAGCTTATGAAGTGTCATAAGATCAGATAGTCTGCGTCGGTCAGCCAATGGCGTCATTTTGAAGTGAAGGAGACGAGTATTGTAATCAGCATCCCGGGGAAAATCGCGACTACGATAAGCTAGGTAACGGGTAAATTTTCTCTGAACGCGTTCTATCCTATGGGAATGCACTTTATAGATGGGGTTCCATATGTTTGAAGCATACTCCAACTTACTGCGAACGAGAGCATTGAATATGGTTTTAAGGGTATCAATGTTCTTAAAATCCTTGCTGACACGTTTTACCAAACCGAGCATTTTCCAAGACTGTGTTACAATACTATCAATATGATCTACAAAATTCAATTTTGAATCCAATAACACCCCAAGGTCACGGATATTGGACGATTCTTTTAATCTATGGTCAGAAACACTATAATAAGATGCAAAAGGAGTCTCTTTTCTTGTAAATTTTATATGAGTGCATTTTTGCGGATTAAGTTTCATCTTATTAGCATTACACCCAACCACCACCGCATCGATATCCCTCTGCAACAGGGAAGAGTCTTCCTGATTGTTTACAACTCTGTATAGTTTTAAGTCGTCAGCAAAAATCGAAAATTTGCTATATTTGATGGAAACAGATATATCATTAATAAACGCCAAGAAAAGTATCGGTCCGAGCCTTGAGGCACACCTGAAATTGAGACATAATCATCTGATTTATATCCATGTACCGTTACGCTTTGGATTCTGTCTTTTAAGTACGAACTTATCCACCGCAAAAGGTCACCATGAATACCGTAAGCTTTCAGTTTTGATAGAAGTATCCCATGGTCTACTTTGTCAAATGCACTGGAAAGATCGGTGTATACAGAATATACCTGCAAACGACCATCAACTGACTTAATTAGTTCCGTTGTATAATGCATCAAATTACTGACAGTCGATTTACCACTACAAAATCCATGTTGAGAATCTGTTATAAAGTTTTTGAAATAATTTGTTAGAGTGGGATAAATAATACGTTCAAATACTTTCGCAAATTGACTTATGATTGACACGGGTCGGTAATTAGTTACATCCTCTTTATTGCCTTTTTTGAATATTGGTATAACATGAGAACGCTTCCACTCAGAGGGGAATATACCTGATGTGACAGACTTTTCAAAAATAAGTTTAAGAGGAAGTGCCAAAAACTTTGAAGTTCTCTTGATAAATAGGGGGGGAATACCATCTGGTCCGGCTCCCTTACTAGCATCAATAGATTTAAGAACATTGTAAACCTGCTGTTCGGTTACTTCTACACTATTAAGAATGTTTTGAGGATATTGATCACCAAGATCAACAAACTCAGAATTATCTGGCAAGGAAAACACTGATGAGAAGTGTGCCGCAAAAAGATTACATATTCCCACACCATTGTCTGCAATTTTATCTCCTAAGTGCATCGTGATTGTGAAAATCTACTAAAAGTAATTCATAAAATTTATTGACATTTTAAAAGTATGGTCCTTCGAGCCATATTTTAAAGAAAACACTTTTCTTTCCTGTCATATTCATATTTGATTTATCTATACTATAATATTGTAAAGAGAAAAGATTTGTATGTAAGTATGTTTGTAACGAATTGGCTTGAAAACCGCATGGACCGATTAAAAAAATTCTTTCACCATTTGAATGCTATATTATCACTGATTAATATAGGCTAAAGTGTATTTTCAAAAAAGTTAGGGTTTCGTATGAAAACTTCGCTAATGTAACCAGACGTGTGTAAAGAATACCAAAAAATAGCCTTATATCGCGTACGCTGCGGAAGTCCTTGACAATAGAGCAAAGTGATGTACTAAAGTTTTATAGAGGATACCAATATCTACAAAAAAGTCCGTGATATCATATGTCTAACTATGACTGTTATGTCACAACTAGAGGTCCCCTGCGGTTTCACCCGCGTTATTTGAAGAAAAAGGTTTATAGCGAGTCAAACTTAAAATATTTACATAGGCTGTCGTGAATTTTTTTTCTAAATGGCTTCGCACGGCTTGTGCATTTAGCCAATGTCAAGTGTTACAATGTTTACAAATTCTATAGCACTCGTAGTCAAACTAATAAATCAAGTCAAAGTAAGTGGCAGTCAAGTCAATCCCCCTTTCCTGTGTTTCAGTAAATGTGTGGGGATTTACTGGAACCTCCCCGTGGACTTCTTGAGGAAACGTCGAAAGTCACTTTCCGCTATTTTGTTTCATTTGCCAGCACTTGTGCACGTTCCCGAACACTTAGTGGTTAATAATCCACCATTATTAGACACTAACATCCGCCACAACACAATTTTTAACAAGAAAAACAAAACTGCTAAAGTGCCGCTTCCCGATCCAGCCAAAAAGTCCGTGAACTTTTTTACAGAACTTTTCAAGGGAAAGAATTCCGTCATACATGAGTTTTGTGTAACTTTAACCGTTTACCCAGCGCACGCAACGGAATCTCATAACTGGAATATTTTTACCCGTTTTTGCAACATTTTTTATCGATATTCCGCTGCTACTGGTCGTAACCTGGTAATATAAACTAAACTACGCAACGAATTTTTTACTTGGAATGAAAGGTTTATAATTATTATGAAGAAAGTCATTGTGTATAATACAAGCCTTTGAACAAAAACTATAGTCTACACTACAGCTCTACACCGAAGCAAAGCAAGGGCGGGCCACTAGTAATCATATAAATTTAATAAAGTTCAGTGACGCTAAATTACATTCTCAATCATCATCATCATCATAATCAGCCTATTAATGTCCCTACTGCTGGGGCACAGGCCTTTCCTATGGATGGAATAGGGAGATTGGGCCATGTTCCACCACGCGGGCCCAGTGCGGATTGGCGGGTGCTAACAACTGCAGATGCAGCCGGGACCAACGGCTTAACGTGCCTTCCGAAGCACCGAGGAGCTCGAGACAGTAAATTTTTGGTCACCCATCCAATGACCGACCACTGCAAAAGTTGCTTAACTTCAACGATCGCAGCCGAATGCGCTAACCACATGCGCCATCGAGCTCATTAAATTCATACATTCTCAATAATCAAGATAAACTCACCATCATAATCAGCGAGCGGCGAAGCTAACGCAATGAGAGTCGCGTGGGCCAAACAGTGCACCAATGGATGTAGAGGTTGGGCCAATGCTTGTCCGCACTTTTCCACCAATACGGAGAGCTGGAGGGACGAGTTCTTGTGGGCCGAGTCTATGAGATTCCAGTCAGCTAGACGGATGGCCCGAGACAGGCTGATCATGACGCGAGACTTGTTATAAGTCATCGATTTCGATGAAGAGTCTGTGTGCGAAAATGGAATTATTATAATAGGGATGATGACTATTTTTTTTGCTTCGTTTATCAGGTAGATTATCAAAAAGTATTGGACACGTATTTTTTCTTTTTTCACATAACATAAACATTGCAGAGATATGTTGATTTGAAAAGTCGCATGACGTCACGTTTGAGTACACTTATAAGTGAAAATTCACTCAAAAGTGACGTCACGAGCCCCTACTCCCAAACTTTGACGCGCTATAACTTTGTCATTTTGTGGTTGATTGCCTAAAAAAAATACGTGTCCATTAGTTTTTGATCATCTAACTGACAGACTAAATAGAATTTCGTTTACTGTACCCCGTCATCACCCCTATTATACGAAAACATGGATTTTTATGAATGGAGCGAGAATTGCAATTAACTTCTTTTGAGTATAAGTAGTTGGTGAAGCTTGACGTTGAATTCCCATTGCCTTGGTGACAGCATGCCTAACCGATGACGTCTTTACAGATTTCTTCTATATTTTTTTAAGTAAAAGAGAAACAATTAAAAAAGTTTGACGACCTCCGTGGCCGAGTGGTTTGTACGTTGAGTTTCATGGTGTCGCCGACTCGAGAGGTCCCGGGTTCAAATCCCGGTGGGAGCAGATGTGTATGTGATGAATACGAGCATTTGTACTCCAGTCATGGATGTTTAATATCGTTTTTTCTATATAAATATACTTATATATGTACAGTATATGTATTCTATCCGTTACCCTAGTATATCCCATAACACAAGTCTTATAGTGCTTACTTTGGGGCTAGGCTAATTGGTGTGTGTTGGAAATATTCATTATTATTATTAGTTACACAAACTATTTATGAAAACTTACCTTACTCACCAGATAGATGGCGCTGTTATAAAATTTATCGGACAGGGCAATGTCTCATCGGTTTTGCTAGTTAGTAAATCTAATATAAAAAATTCTCGTGACGCGGTGTTTGTGGTTAAACTCCTCCGAAACGGCTTTCCCGATTCTCATGAAATTTTGTGTGCATATTGGGTAGGTCTGAGAATCGGACAACATCTATTTTCATCCCCCTAAATTTTAAGGGTAATCCACGCCTTAATTTTTTTTTCAATTTTAGATATTTTTTTTTATGATACATCATACAAAAATACATACATTCTTAAATTTTCAACTTTCTACCACCAACCCCTATTTTTTTATGGTGGTACGAAGTTCGCTGGGACAGCTAGTAATAGTATAATATCCAGTCACCCAGTATATGTGCCGCCAGCGCGTACAGATTCCGATGTAGGGCGGGGCTGAACACATCGCGCCACTCGTGGGGCAGCGCGGCCACGTGCTGGGAGGGCATGCGCCTGGTGCACTGGTGGGGGATGTGCGATATGAACTCATTCACGAACGTGTATAGTTTGAGCGCAGAGTGCGCTATCATCGCCACCTGAGATCAACGAATAAAAAAAATATAAATAAAAAAAAGTTAAAACCGTAGCAAGTAACATGATTAAAACTGATGATTATTATGCGTACGCTAATGCGTGGCTCCAGTACGGCATTGTCTTGTGGGGAAATAGCGTAGAAATTTCAAAATTATTTAAACTCCAAAAGCGCTGCCTTACAATTATAGTAAATATAGATCAAAGGACAAGTTGCCGACCATATTTCATAGGTGAAGGTATTCTAACCCTTACGAATATATACATTTTGGAATTATGTATGTTTGTTAGAAAACACACTCATCTTTTTCCCCAACAAGAACGACCAAGTAGATTAAGACCGCATCAAAGATTAGCCCCTCCAAATTCCATTTAGTACACACAGGACCTTTTGCTATGGCCGTTAAAGTGTACAATAAAATTCCCGAACATATAAAAAATAAAAAAAACGCAGTCAAATTTAAAAAACTATTGAAATCATTTTTATCAAAGACCAGCTTTTATTCGATGCAAGAGTTTTTCAATTTTAAATAGTACCTAGTTAATTTAAGCAAGACCTTATTTATTTTTTATGTTTTTTAATGTTCCTACGTAATGTTATTTTATTTGAAATTATTATTATTGTTATTATTGAATGCTATTTGTCAGTGTTATTAATTATTAGTTAATAATTATGTTCAAGTTAATTTTAATTAAATTTAATTGAAGTAGATTATTATTTAATTAAGGACATTTTAAATTAAATTGCTATACCCTTTCAGGGTTCATGTGTCTGTATCTAATCTTTATGTAACATCTGTAATAACCACATGAGTGCAATAAATAAATAAATAAATAAATAACTGTAGACGAACTGTGAAAAGGCTATTGCGCCGACTTTTTTGTAGACGAACTGTGAAAAGGCTATTGCGCCGACTTGTTTGTCTATGGTTTATGTTCACTTGATTAAAACTGTAGACGAACTGTGAAAAGGCTATTGCGCCGACTTTGTTGTCTATGGTTTATGTTAATTTTTAAGACCATAGGAAAATAACACTGCCTTTTGGTGGTTGCAGTGTGTCTAAAGTATATGAGAAGAGTGCCAGATAATTGTAAGGGAAAGTTAATGTACGAAACAAACCCAATGATAGTTGTTCTAACGCTGTTTATTTGCATTACATTCAATACTGCGCGTAAATGACTTGTTTCTATGTGACCTAAATTAGAACATACTAGCAAACCAGTGAACCAAATGTTCACCATCACCTGATTTAAAAAAAAATGTATTTAATTAATTGAGAACTTCGGAGATTTTGTGTGGTTTCGTTTGAAATTCGTGATTTCTCGAAAACCGGAAGTGCTACGTTACACAAATCCGGTTTGTAGTCTTATCAGACTATTCTTAACTTATAACTTAAATATTCTCTTTATCTATCTCTTCCGGTTTGGCCGCTGAAACAGCACCACAGACGGACGGACGGACTTGTCTAATAGATAAGAGATTATTTATAACCTAAACTGTACGATTACTCGTACAGTGGTGTTGTGTTTCTGTCTCTGAGTAAGATTCCAGGTCTCCACGGGGTAGAGGATGGAGTCAGGGAAGGCAACGACGTCATTGATATTTTTGGTATCGCAAGGTAAAGATAAGGACCGTAAGATTGTTTGCCAACCTTTTAAAATAAAAAAAATACGTTGATATGGAAACGAATTCAAGAAACTTCACACAGAATTTAGAACCTTTAACTTCACCTGTTTGGCTTGGTAAAAGAATTCAAGATTAAGATACTCCGAGACTAAGATAAATGAAACATAAAGAAAATATAACTAGAAAAAATTCCACGCGGGCCAGGCAGCAAACGGGACTCGAACCCGCACCCTTCGCAATCCCGGCGAATGCACTGACCACACGGACCGCGTCGAAATTCCTCTAGCCATTCTTAAGCTGCAAGGCAGCGCAATCTCTTCGCATTATAGGTAACCCACAATGTCAAATGAATACTTTTACAAGTGTTAAACAGTTGAAAGAAGATTATAGTAATATTTTTTATTTTTTTTTAAAGCATGTAACTGCTTGATGTTTAAATCTAAAGCCGCGGTAGCATAATAGGTCAGTGCATTCGCCAGGATTGCGAAGGGTGCGGGTTCGAGTCCCGTCTGCTGCCTGGTCCGCGTGGAATTTTTTCTAGTTATATTTCGTTTAGATTTAAACATCAAGCAGTTACATGCTAAAAATCATTACTATGATCTTCTTTCAAATGTTTAATACTTGTAAAAGTATTCATTTGACATTGTGGGTCACCTATAATGCGAAGAGATGGCGCTGCCTTGCAGCTTAAGAATGGCTAGAGGAATTTCGACGAGGTCCATGAGGGCCGCGGTAGCATAATTGGTAAGTGCATTCAGGGTGCGGGTTCGAGTCCCGTCTGCTGCCTGGTCCGCGTGGAATGAGTCTTTTGTGGGTGAGTTTAATGTATTATTATTTATTCGCTTGTGTTGTTTAGAAAAATAAAAAGGTATCGTTCCCTTCCTAGGACTCGTGCTATTAGCTGGTATTTTTTTTATCCGTAATGATGATTTTTGAAGATTGTTTTTTATAACCTCAAAACTTAAATAAGTGTTTTTGTATTCAGCAAAGTCAATGCACAGATTAATTTTAAACGTAACATGCCTTAGATACATAGTATTATTTTGATAATAGTCATTTACTTCGAGAATTGTACAGTTTTCAAAGTGTTTTGTCCATAAATTTAGGTTGTTATTTAATAGCTTTAAATTCAAATAATTACTGTTGTTGATAGGTATTATAATTACACGGTTATTTCTTAATCTATTCAATGTTATACATATATTTGAGTGTAATTTGTGAATATCTTGGTCATGACTGCCCATACCCAATACAACAATATCACTCTTTCCTAAGTTACTATATATGTTATTATTCTCATTATTATCTAATATTTCTGAGCTTGTTGCGCCGGTCCTGATGTGTGTAAATGTCGTATATATGTCATTCCATTTACCATTTCTTGATTATTTTAATATTGAAGATAATCCACGAAGTTTTTCATCCCCTAGGATAATAATATTTTTGGGTATATTTTCATGACAGGACGTCTTACGGGTTTCTATGTTCGATTTCGATAAACTTGAGATTCGATTGTTTGGCAGCATTCCCACTTAATTCTCACTTAACAAGTTAGATGGTGCTGATTGCAAATTATTAATTTGATTGTTATCTTCTGACTGGGTAAAAATCAATGTGGTTTTCTTCGAGTTTTTTTGATTATTCTTGTTACTGGAACAGATTTTTGCCGGTGTAGATGTGCCTTCAGGTGTCGGTTTTTCAGTGCTTAATTCATACTTTTCTAATTTCGTTTTTAACGCTTGATTTTCCTTTAACAAATGTTGTATCTCGGCTTCAGCAATTTCTAGTTTTTCCCATAGTTGTTTATTCTTCAATTGAAAATTTTCCATTTTTTTTATAACTACCACTACCACGACAATCTGAATAGCTTGTATTTAAAGTGCCAGTTGGAGTTGACAAAAGCGATGAGTATTCATGACAAGAATCCATATCGTCCCCGGATAGTGTTTCAAAAGAGTTATTTATAGAAATATTGTTTTTATTTGGATATTTTTTCCTGTGAGTCACATTCTCATTAAACTTCGCTGCACAAACACAGCATTTATAGGCATTTTTATTTTCCTGGGTCATCAAATAAAACCTTTTTTGGGAACTTCAGTGCAGTCCAAACGGTAACTATTTTCACATATTGTACACTTCAATAATTCTCTACTTGTGATAGCATTCTGACATTTATTGCAGTTGAGAGTCATGTTATAATGGCTATTATGATTCCAAAATAACAAAAAAGTTTATTTATTTGGTGATCAAACTTTGTTTTAACTAGCAAAACTAGCAAAATTTCAAAAAAGTCAATCAAATCTCTCAGGATCGAACCCGATTCTCTCGTTAGATATGGAGCGTCGGTGCGGCTGCGCCAGCTGGCATTGAAATGAAATAACAAATTTAGTTATACGTATTGTCTACTATATCATCGGGCTTAGTCGGCGTATTGTCGTTTGTCTTCGATTCAAAGTCGGCTGACTCCGTGCTGATTCACAGCTGTTTGACACATTCACTTTTCTCGTCACTGTCCAATCCGCACAACGAATTAGTTCTTATTTCGTATCTATAAGGTTTTTAATAGGTCGCACTCAATCTCGTTTTAAATAAAATTAACGGATAGTCTTTTGGAAAAATAGTTATTAAAGATTATTAATGTATTGTATTGATATTAAATTAAGTAGCACTGATTGTAATATTGTTATTTTATGTGTATATTGTTTTTCGGGAAGTTTCATTGTTTATTTGGTAATTTTTTTTTTTCACAGTCACTTCTCACTTTCTTTATAATGATTCTTTCTCGTTCATATTTTTAGATAACATTTGTACTCTTTATATATAAGTCACTTTTCACTTTTAATCTAGTTTTGTAGCTTTTTTAAGCTATTTTTTTGTTGCCATCTGCATCGATGAGAGTGTTTAGGAGAATTTACATCACCATTTGGCGCCACTGTCACAAGGGGTCTTTTATATGAAGTTTTTGGCGCGAATCCATAGACTATGAACATACGTGATTTGACGGATGAGTACTTTCGTCTCAGTGCTGACACCTGGCGCCCGCCATTCTAGAAGATCCTCATTAGGGGCCTTCCTTACCGGGTAGGTTTGGGCTCGCTTCATTTTCGTTTCTGTACCGAATCTGTTCAAATTCTTTACCGCGGACCATTTTTTGACAGACTCGTTTTCGGTGCGGTATCGTTTCGTTTTGATTGCTACGGATACGGCGGTTACGGGTTTCTTTGTCGGAGTGACGGGACGGCGAGTTGAATAGTTTGGTAGCATTCGAGAGCTATATACACAGCTCTGTGTAAACATTCTGTACCGAAACTACTCAGTGAAGAAGCTCCTGGGGTCTTTTAATTACATTCACTCGGTAAAACGAATCGAGCCCGCACCGAGCCGGTGAGAAAGGCCAGCCTTCATTGAATTTGAGAAAAATAAAGTTTTCCCAGTACCTAGTACATATTAACATTTTTTTAATATTAACAAAGTCTAAAGTATAATTTTAGAAATCATATCAAACAAACACTGCCGGATTTAGGGGAGGGCAACCGGGGCGAAAGCCCCGGGGCCTCCACAAACGGGGGGCCCCCACAATAGAGACTTCGGAAAAAAAAATCTTTCAAATTCCAACTAGTAAACACTAGTAAACATCTTTTCTCCGAGAACTCGATTTCAACGAAATCATCAACGATTTTTCGGCGAAAAAAGCTCGAAAGGTTCCGTTCGTTAACTCGAAGATTTAATTCCAGATAATTCTTGTTTCCGTTTATATTTATATGTGTTTGTTCAATACTAAGAGAATCTACTTGGTTCACAATAAATTATTTATTGAAAAACTCGACTGAAAAAAAATTTTTTACTCTATTTGGAAAATAATTTGGGGTGAGGGGGCCTCCGCTCCTCTGTTGCCCCGAGGCCTCTGGACCTCTAAATCCGGCCCTGCAAACAAAGTACATCCTACTTAATGCATCTCACCTTAGTATTGTCGGTGTGATGTTTAGCCCGGTACAGGTTGTCAGTAATCGCGCACAGAGTGACGGTGACGAAGTCCCAGTGATGCTGCGGCGCATCCCATCCCGTCTGCCGCAGGACTGCGGTGCTGCACTCCATTATCCACGCCTCGGCCACCACTTGGGCCCACGACATTTGCGTTATATCCCTGGAACGCAGGTCTCGTGTAGGGTTAGCACGATGACAATATGTATTAATAGTAGGGAAGCCCAAGCGGGGATTTTGGACAAATCAAGCGCGGCAGAACAACATGATCAGGGGGGGGGGGGGGGGGGACTCAAAGTTGCGGTTTGCGGCGTGAGGTTCCTGAGGGATTCTAGTAACAAACAATTAAAGTTAACATGAACCAAGTTGCGGACGGCCGCTAGTAGAAATATTTATAATTATTTACTTAGAGGGAACGCTAAAATATCAAAAATATATATATGTTATAATTTTTATTATTTTAAAGCATGTAACTGCTTGATGTTTAAATCTAAAGAAAATATAACTACTACTGCTAAAATATAAATACTGCTTTGCAGCTTAAGAATGGCTAGAAGAATTTCGACGCGGAAATCAGTGCCGCGGTAGCATAATTGGTCAGTGCAGTCGCCCGGATTGCGAAGGGTGCGGGTTCGAGTCCCGTCTGCTGCCTGGTCCGCGTGGAATTTTTTCTAGTTATATTTTCTTTAGATTCAAATATGTATATAGTCTATCCTACTTTCACCAATAAGCTCGACATGAAAAAGAAATCACCGAGACTTTACCTCTCTCCGAACATAGCCGGATCTAGTCGATGGTAAATCTCGACGAACAAGTCCAAGTCGTGAGCGATAGCGCTGGCTATCGCCTTCTCGCTCGCACCGTGGCCGGCAGCGGCCTCGGGGAACCCCGCCACCACGCTGCGCAGCGCGCCGGAGAACAGGGACGTCATACGTTGCCTGCCAGACCCACCCCACTCGCAGTTGGCCTAGTAATGCAATTATTTACTTATCTTTAACAAAGGAGATCGCTCAAATTGGCCTAAATGCACAAAAAATATTGACATACACGGTAATTATAGGCGTAATTTATAATTTAATTTTCAGTCGTTAGATTTCAACGGACACCTTTGTATAATATATTTACTTTAAAAAGGACTTTTAATTTTACCGGTTTGGAAAACATACGAATCATTTTTAATGGCTATGGGTGTGGTAACATTCAGCCGAAGACTGATCGAAGTTGTATAAATAATATAAAAGCAAATCTATTTTGTAAAGATCGATAAAATAAATCATTTTTTTATTACACTGTGATATTAATATCCACAACTATATTATCATTTTCACTAGATGCAAATGTGCTCAGACAATTAGTAGGCGACATCATAAAGTCTATTGCCATACATTTTTCGCCAAACACCTCCATAAACACATTATAATCTGTATATATGTTAGACTTTAAGGTATCTATCTATGGGCCTACGTTCCCTAACTATAAATTAATAAATAAATAAAATTATAAGGTGTGATACACTAAAAATCTAAAATATGGTTATCTTAAAAACATAACAAAAATAATGAAGCTACTGAATATATGGCTATAGAACCTAAATCTCTTAGCTTTCTTTGGTTAACGAGAGTATAAAAATTCTCTCTAATCTGTGGCTCATTCACAATCATCACACAGTTTCTGTCACAGAGTACCATAGTATAACCGGAAATGACACCTGATTTTAAAAGTTACTTTTATGCATTAACTTTAAAAACAGGCAACTATCTGTTAATCTACATGCTCTATATACCTGAATCTAATCCTTAATTTCGGTACTTGGCTTGATTTCCCTAGTTTACTATATAACTTATTTGTTTTTTTATTATTTTAATATGTTCAGTGTATATGGTTTATAGAAGTTCTCAGGGGTGTCCGTCAATAATATTCGTTTCTACAGTAATTTATATATAATTTCGAATCTAGGAAACAATTTTTCATGATTATTGGTCTGTAGGCCAAACATGTATGGAAGCTGAGAAATCTCCTTTCCTCACAGATTTTTGTGGATGTAATAAAATAAAATATAAATACAATCTTAAGGCCATTTACAGAAACTTATTATGTACACATTTGATGATAACGGCGTTCCTATATATCAATATCTTATTTGATTTTAAAAATAGTATTAAATTTCATATAATTCAGTAACATTAAAATAAATTAAGATTGGATAAGAAAGCAAATGACAAAAAAAGAAACCAAACACTAAATACCCATATAAAAATGTTTTCAGAAATTTGTCACATGATAACTTTATAAAGTGTGGGTGTATGTGCATGTATGTATGCGTGTGTGTATCCATGCATTTGCAATGCTATGCCTCGTAACTTTGTACTCTAAAACACGAGCTGGCGGGCACCGCGCCCCGGGCACTAATTTTATTGTTACCACCATAGACATATATTTGTTCCGCTCGAATTAGAGCTCCTATCTGGGGAAGTCCTCCACCTTACAAGAGACTATGTACAGTAAAATAACACTATATTTTGGCAATGTTGTGTTTCTGTCGGTGAGTAAAGTTCCAGGGCTCTGCGGGGTAGGGGTCAGGGTCAGGATAAGCAACGGCGCTCATAGGGGGGCGAGACAGGGACGGAGAGAATAACGCTCTCCCTCCCATTCTCGCGAGAGCTGCGAGTCTGCCCTGGGGGGGGGGGGGGGGGGACAGGCTCGCATTGCACAAGCTCTCTGGATGTCGATGCCCCTTATGCTCCGGGGCATCTTCATCCGGGTCCGTAACGATGCAGGAGCATTGTCTGGTTTTTAGTGGCCCTGTTCAGGGCTATAGGTAGGGCCCTGCTCATTTTATCCGGCCCAAGAGCTGGCTGAAATGAGCAGGGATGAGTCCCACATACCTTCTCCTCGCTCCCCCGGTGGTTGAAGGATGTGTAAGGCATTTCCCAGACACAAAAAAAGGGGTAAGCAACGGCGCGAGTGAAATTCCTTGTATTTCGCAAGCGTCATTAGGTTATGGTGCTGTTTACTAACAATCTCGACGACCTCCGTGGTCGAGTGGTTTGTACGCAGGGTTTCATGGTGTCGCCAACTCAAGGAGTTCGAATCCCGATGGGGGCAGATGTTTGTGTGATGAATACGAGCATTTGTACTCCAGTCATGGTTGTTTAATATCTATTTCTATATAAATATACTTATATCTGTACAATATATGTATTCTATTCGTTACCCTAGCATTCCATAACACAAGCCTTACAGTGCTTACTTTGGGGCTAGGCTAATTGGTGTGAGTGTTGGAAATATTTATTTATTTATAATCTGGGGTCCTTTAAGAGGCGTGAAGAAGCATTTTTGCAGACCGGCAAGGTGAGGATGGTTGGTGTGGCAGCATGTACCTGTACCAACTATCTTCGCATTATCACCACTTAACATCAGGTGGGGTAGAGTCAGTTGCCTACCCGGCTATGAAAAAAAAAGCGGGCCATGAGCTATAACATAAAAAAAAACATGAAATGGACAACTCTTAAGAAAGATGTAAAGAGAAGAGATAGTGCAGCCAATACTTATACTAACCACGGACATAGAAAATAGATTGAGCTTTGCCAACTATGGTGTAAAACTGGGCATAGAAGTGTAAGAGAATCGATATTGGCTGCATTGGCTACATAATCTTTATCTAGAGAGTTGTCAATCTCATACGAATGTCTCTCAGTCCATTTTCTGTATCTGAGCCTTTAAGAAAAAGAAACTATTTCAGAAGTAGTATTTAAAAAGCACTTACAAACCCATTAGAGCCTGTGCGGAAAGAAAATGGGATTTTGATTGGAGGGCGCTGTAGTGCTTTTCTACCGTATTTGTAAGGTTTTACCCCTTTTAGACATGATTAAATACACAAAACTGCAAGGAATCACAACAACAAACAAATCTGTATCAATACAAAACTTTGACGTTTTACAGATTGCTGGGTTTGATTGCCAAATAAAAATCTTAATGTTGGTTCCGTGTTTCGCCACGCCCATTCTCTTTCGGCACAGACTCTAATTTGAAATCTATAATTGTAAGTGGTGTTTTAAGTTAAACAAATAGATTTATTTTGAAAAGCAAGGGACATTTTCAAATTATGAAAAAGAACAGCAATCTATGTTGTAGTATCTTGAATTGTTTAAATAAAAAAAATTAAAGCTAATCATCGTCGGTATCAATTGTTATAGTTTTGAAATTGATTCAACGTTAAAGCGAGACAAACATGTAAAATTAGAAGATTCTTAGAGACTGATAAGAAATTATTCCTGCCCACCTCTTTTTGGAAATGAGATTCATATTTGTTTCTTAGGTTTTCACGCACACCACTCACTAAATAACACAAGTTGCAACGGTATAGATACACTGATTTATTTGTTACCTGAAGTTTCGCATCCTTTTCAGGCTGCGTCAATCTCTTATCTATTAGACAAGTCCGTCCGTCTGTCTGTGGTGCTGTTTCAGCGGCCAAAAAGTTAAGAATAGTCTGATAAGACTACAAACCGGATTTGAGTAACGTAGCACTTCCGGTTTTCGAGAAATCACGAATTTCAAACGAAACCACACAAAATCTCCGAAGTTCTCAATTAATCAAATACATTTTTTTTGTGAACATTTGGTTCACTGGTTTGCTAGTATAATATAATTCTGGTCACGATGCGAAAAGTCAACAAACAAATGAACCAGTGCACCTATACCGCTGAAACTTGTTTTAATTAAAAGGTATTCAATTATTTTAATTAAATCTTTTTTTATTAAACTTTACCTGTAAACAATGATAATATCCTTTGCCGCTAATCTTCTGCAGCATGTTTTCTTCATCTGCGTTACTATTTGGAGTAGGGGAAGGTTGGGAATTTGGATCATGATCGCCGTCTCCATCGTTTTCCAACTTGGTATCCTTTACGTTATCCTTATTAACATCTGGAGGGCCATCTTCACTGGAAGTAACTTCTGAATTGTCTTCTTCATTATTGTCGACTGCGCTGGGCACTTTTTCATCAGGATTCTTGTCTACGGTCTTTCCTCCCTCAGCTTTGACCTCATATAACCTTCTGGCAAAGGCCCAATAGTAACCTTCGGCGGCTGCGAGCTCTGAAAGCCGAGCTTTAATATTGCTTCTCGTTGTAATTTCAGTAGCAACTATTATATCATCGATAATAGCGTCAAGTTTGCCCTTAGCGTCTCTAATTATATCGTGGTGTAGCCACTGAAAAATTATTTTATATTATGAGAAATTTTAAAATATGTATTGCTAAACAAGTGGGTGTCTGCGAATTCGTGGAAAATTGGTTTCCAATACAAAATTACACCCTATTCAAGAATAATTTCTGAAAATAAAACTATCCTATATCACTTCCCGGGACTCAAACTTTCTTTATACCAAATTTCATCTAAATCGGTTTAGCACATTAAGCGTCAAGAGGAAACAGACAGACAGACGCACATTTGCATTTACAATAATACTAGTTGGGTGCTTACGACTTCTATCTGCGTGGTTTAATTGGTTTCCCATACAAAATTCCACCACCCCTTTTCGTCCTCTTAAAGGATGATATCTCGGATAAATGCTATCCTATTTCCTTTCCTGGGACTCGAACTATATCTATACTAAATTTAATCCCGATCGGTTCCGTGGTTTAGGCGTGAAGAGGTAAGAGACAGACACACTTTGGCATTTATAATATTAGTTTGAAACTATGGATTACAATTCAATCTAAGGATATACTTACGAAACCGTAGGCTTCATCCAGCGATCTGAGCACCATGAATTCCCTTAATAGCTTACAGAATTCCATCTGCAAGTAATCGTTACTTAGCAGCATATTGCACCAACTATTATCTTCTTTCTTTTCATCCTCTTCATCTGTGCTCGCGTGGAGAATCGTTTTGATGTACGACGCTCGAAAGAGGACTTTATTTATGCACGGCACAAGGGTTTCTTTTGCGAGTTCTATAGGATTCTCGCTGTCTTTGACTACTGCGCGTATAATGTCGTTGTCATCGTCGAAGGGGCAATTAAAGCGACCGGTAACGCAGTCGTGACGCACTGCCGGGATTTCCACTGATGGGTCGAGATTAAAGTCTAGTAATTGCTTGGTTAATTCTACCACATCTTGTACGTCGTCTGCGGAGGAGCATCCGCTGAGTAAGTACGGAGCGAGAGATGTCATGTGCTCGATTTGGGGAACATCGACTTCGTTTACCCTGCATTTAGGAGGAATCTTTTTTATAAACAAATTATAGCATTAAATGGGGAAGAGAACTTACAATTTATCCCGCCAGAGGCGCAGGTGTAGAATGGCCCATTACAACAAATCGAGACAGCTGTCAAAGTCAAAATAAAAAAAAAACTAACGAATTCCGATCAACTTGGGCGGCGTTCCCAATCTAGGTTTTAGGTGCAATAAATGTCAAACTTGATATATATTTCATCCATTTTATATCAAAACTGAAACGTCAGGGTAAAAAGTTGCGTTCAGAGCGTAGGTTTACAACGCAGTCTTCAAGCGACAGGCTGCCTGTTATGGGCCAAACGGCCAAAGCGCCATCCGAAACGAGCTTTGCGTTTTCTCTCCCATTTGATACTCTTTTATATAATCGAAACGTGCAAAATATATCAGGTGCTTGTGTATAAGAGAAAAAAATATGGTACAAAATAAACATAGGAGACGTTAGGACAAATATTATGTAGGTTCGAAGCCGTAAGCGCGTTTGAAAGATATCAACCGAACGGATGATAAAAAAATAGTACATCGAGCTCCGTTACGTCCGTTCAAGTTTTCATACACAATTTGATAAAGAAACGTCGCACTGGCTAACTATTCGGGTGCTTAAGGATCCTGTATGTATTAATGGAATAACTTACAGCGCTGCGAGTCGCGTGGACAGTAGGGCGGCGGCTCGAGTGCGATCCGCTGGAGCCGCGGCGCTCAGCCCGTCGTGAGCTGCGGAGCGGGCCTCGCGCCACCCGCCCGCACTCAGGCGCCGGTCCCCGCGCTGGAACATACCGACATCACATCATTCACATCACAAATAGAATAGGGTATTTGACGATGTCACGTTATTTACTAACTAGCAAACCGGTGAACCAAATGTTCACCAAAAAAAAAAATGTATTTAATTAATTGAGAACTTCGGAGATTTTGTGTGGTTTCGTCTGAAATAGAAATCACGTGATTTCTCGAAAACCGAAAGTGCTACGTTACTCACATCCGGTTTGTAGTCTTATCAGACTATTCTTAACTTATAACTTAAACATTCTCCATATCTATCTCTTACGGTTTGGCCGCTGAAACAGCACCACGGACGGACGGACGGACTTGTCTAATAGATAAGAGATGTTTATAGAGTCCATATTCATCATTATGTTGTGTATTTCGGTAAAATAACCAAATCGAAAACTCCATTTTCGAGTTGCCGCGAAACCGTTTCTCAGGAAAATATGGCGTCTTACTAGTGTGTGACGTCACACGACTGTTATTAAAACGTCAAACGATACGATGTAATGTCACTTTGACCGGAAGTTTACTTGCGTGTGACGTCATTTTAGGCTCCACCAATCCCAAGCGTTTTGGGCCACGTGACAATAGATAAGAAAACTATTATCTTTTTCGTTAGTTTTTAGTAAAATCATGAATATTATTTTTTGTAAAAATAGTGAAAACCCCTGCCAATAGTCATTCTAAACACAGATGCTAACAATTCGCACTTTATTTTTAACACTGTCAAATACCCTATTTGCGTCATAAACGGCTGTATCTCTAGATTGCTTTGGCTTTTGTGAAAAATCTTAAATTTTTCAACAGCTCCAAGGGACAGTAGACCTGAGTATTAAATATGAATTTCAGATTAATACCTGCATGCGTTCCTGAGAAAAACGGTTTTGACTGACGGACGGACAACAAAGTGATTCTATAAGGGTTCCGTTCGTTCCTTTTGAGGTACGAAACCCTAAAAATGTGGGAAAGTCAAATATTTGAAACGCAACAAAGCGGTTATAACTACTCAATACCGACCGGCACTCGCAGTAGCAGCTGCAGTAGGCCACGCACCAGGCGCTGGTAGCCGGCGCTGTCGGTGCTGCGCGCGGCTAATGCTGTGGCGAGGTGGGAAGCTACCGAAGCCACGTGTTCCAAGTCGAATTCTGACTGTGAGCCTGATTCGGACGCTTCTAGACATTCGGATAGCGCGTTGCTTGCTAACTCAGCTATTTCGGATGCTGTCTCTTCGCTTATGAGCATTTCTGGAACAGTCGAGAAAAGAGTGTGACCTTTAAAGACCTAAATGCGGCAGCAAATTTGCTAAATCTCGATTCAATTAAAACTTATTATATCTCATACAAAAGGGTTCAAAACATTGAGAATATTTTACGGGCTACATCTAATTTTAAGTGAATCCAGATTTACAAATTTATTTGCAAGTGGGCTTTAATGGAAGAGAAAAATTAAGTGAAGTTAATTTCTTTGGAAAAATAAAGGCCTGAAACGTCTTCTATCTCCGCCTGTAGTCTGTTTTAACTCAATTCCTACTTTGTGGAGTTCTAGCATATATACTTTTTACAGCAATACTGCAGAATAGTATGAGATTAACGTGTAATTTTGGGGGTTTTTCTGATTGTTATTTACATGCTTTTGAAGCATACCCCGTGCGTGCAAATTTATCATAAACATTTTATGATTAACGTTTTCTTTATTTTTATTTTCCAATCAATTTCTTTTGGTAACTATTATGAATGTGACCGGTCTTTTCAGATTACGGTTTGGTAAAATTAAACTGGATAGATTAAGTGTGAGAGACAAAGCGATCGTGTGCCTAACAATTCGAATAGGTAATGGCACCATTAGAGATCCTCCAACTAGTGTCTTTTGAGCGTTGTCGTCGCAACGTCGACGGGATGCTAGCGCTGGCCGGCTGCCAAACCCCGTAAAGCGTAGATTCAATCTTTTCTTGCGAACAATGTAAGCCGGTCAGTGCTGGCGTCACCGTTGCGACGACGGTGCGTGGATGTTGGCATGGAAGCTAGTGTGGGATGTCTTTCAACTATCCATCTTTTTTACATACAGGGTGTCCCAAAAAATAGTGTCAAGCGGTAGTCCCGAGATAGAACACCCCTTGGAGATTCCGAAACACCCCCATGTATATTCCGCGATTTTTGATAGTTTGCGAGTTATGAATTTTTTACTAAAATTTTGAGAATTATTGACCTAAACAACTTAAAAAAATAATTAAAAAAATTGGATGTCTTTTCCTAGATATTTTTTTTTGCAACTCAATTTACATAAATTGTACTTTAATCACTAATAACTTTGTCTTCGTAACTATGATGGAAGTTTAAAAAATGATGGTGCAAAATGAAAAAATTATGGTCAGTGAATTATGTCTTCAAATTTCAACTTTAAATGACAATGACAGATTTTGACCCACCATATACAGTAATATTAGATTTATGAAAAAATATATACGACTTTTTTTCTCGTACCGATTTAATGATTACTTTGTAAAAGCGGCGGATACGAAATAAATATTAAAATAATTTGTATCTACTGTTTCCGTTAGGAGAAGAACGAAAACATGGCATAAGCGTTTTGTTTCACGACAAACAATAAAATGCCAATCAAGTTTTCGAATAATATCGTTCTCTTTTTTAATAATATGGATAAAATAAGCATTTCGGTTATAAATATAAATAATTTATGTTTATAAAAAAGTATAAGGATTATAGTACCTTGTATTTTTTATGCGCATACACATTATTATGTAGTAGTACCTATGTGAAACTAAACGTTATTTTGGATTGATATCCTTTTGATTGATATTTCCGTCAAACAAAAGGATTTGGACGACAATGTCGTTTGTGATTTGGAACCATGTTGAGATGCATAAATTGTTATTTATGTGTCGATAGAATACAAAGGCATGTCGTTTATACAATATCAGCTACAATACGGACGCTGTTGAGTAATTTATAAAAAATCCAATTTTCTGCTGAAATTGCAGCTCGAGAAACGCATGATAATTGGACTCTTTGTAAGTATATTATTCAATAACCACAGCTTCTAGAGAATTTACAACATTACTATTTTGATTCCTTATATTACAGCTATGAAATATCATTTTCATCCCACCACCTCGGAAAGTGTAATTTTGCGCTTCGAAATCTGGCTGGAAAATTCTATTTTATTCGCTTGAGCGGCAAAGTAGATTTGAATTTAGAACATCACATATAATGAGTACTCAATATAATTGTAAATTCAAAACGTCATTAAACCTATTTAATGTAACCTCTATGGTGCCAAATTTATGATTAGAACTTTTTAAATTGTGAAAAAATTTAAATTTGGAACCTTCTTGGTTTCTTTGTTTTATTTGCGTGCTTCGCGCCATTCTAGTTTTTCACGTTTTATTGCTTAATATAATTAACATAACCTAAAAACTGTACAAAAAAATCAACTAAAATGAGTGACATTAGCGACGATGAAGTTTATCTAACGCCAACTGAGTTAACTGAAACAGTTAATAATGCGCAAATGAGCCTTCTCCCTCAGCAATCACGAGAGAAGTATTTGAAACAGTACGATATATTTAACATGTGGCGACTAGCTAAAGGAGCAAAAACTTTCTCCGAAAACGTTTTGCTGGCATATTTTATAGAATTATCTGAGACCAAGAAAGCAAGCACGCTATGGAGTACGTATTCAATGCTAAAATTAACAATTAAGATGAAGAAAGACGTTCATATCGACACCTATCATAAATTAGTGGCATTTTTAAAAAGAGCCTCATCTGGTTATAAACCAAAAAAATCGAAGGTTTTCACAGCATCTGAAATTGCAAAGTTTATTAATGAAGCACCTGATTCCGTATATTTAGCGGCAAAAGTAAGTCAATACGTGTAATTTTTTGTTGTTGATAAAATTGTACATAGTACTTACAATATTTTTAATTTGATTAATTTATTTACGATTATAAATACTTCTTTTGTTACAGGTTGTTCTTATTATTGGTATAACCGGAGCATGTCGAACAAATGAACTTACACTACTTAATGTCAATAACGTATCAAAATATTCTCATAATTCTGATGAATTGCTATTAATTAATGTACTAAATACCAAGACAAAAAAAGACCGCAACTTCGTTATTCGCAAGGAATATGTAAACATTGTTCAGAAATATCAAGCTTTACGTCCTTCTAACACCCCAATTGAACGATTTTTTCTACAATATCGCAACGGAAAGTGTATCCGACAACCTATGGGTCAGAATAAAATTGGCAGTATTCCACGAGAAATAGCAACTTTTCTCGGACTTTTAGAACCCCCGTTATACACCGGTCACTGTTTTAGAAGAACCTCAGCCACACTTTTGGCCGAATCAGGGGCTGATCTTCTATCGCTTAAGCGCCATGGAGGCTGGAAGTCTAATTCGGTTGTAGAGGGATACATAGAGGATTCAATCCAAAGTAAATCAAAAATTTGTAATAGTATCGTGGAGGCCATAACGCTGAAAGAACCTCTGTCAGATTCTTGGTCTCGCCCTTCTACATCTAAAATGAGCCCCCATAAGATTGGAAACAATAGCCCTCTCTCGCCAACATTTACGCCAATAGAATCCAATGAATCGGCACAACTATTTAAAATTACTGATACGAGTAGTTTACCACAAAACAGCGCACAATTCACAAACACCAACATAACATTACCTAACAAAAATATTAAACTTAACATAAGTAACTGTAGCAACGTTACATTTAATATTTCTTAATTATTTTCTACTTCTTATTATTTTCTTCAATTTATAGATTATCTTAATGTGTTTTAATTGAAATAAAAATATTTTGTCATTATAAATTGTTTTCTTTTTCATTTTGTCATTTCCTCGCTGAGGTGGGATGAAAAGTTACGTATTGCACTCGAGTGGAAAGATTTTTCACCTTGTGCTCGTTTGTTTCCCTCGCTGACGCTCAGGATTCTAATTTAGAATCACTCGCTGCGCTCGTGATTCAACTTTAGAATCCTTCGCTTGCTCGGTCATCCAAATCGAGCACGCGGTTAAAAAGGAACTTTCCACTCTTGTATAATAAATAACTATTATCGCATTGGTGTACACCATTTTTATCGGGTGGGTTAAACCTCTATAGAACTTCTGGCATTGGCATTTAAAATCTTAATAGGTAGTTTCATAGCTCCTAAGTAAGTTTAAAAACTGCGCCAGACTTTCAGCTTTCATAATCATTAAAAAAAAGTAGTACTTGAAGGGCTACTTTTGCTAAAATCGGATTTCAAAGACAGTGAGGTGGAAAATTTTTAAAATTAGCCATTTGGTATCGAAGTTTTTTTTTTGGCTGTTTATCATTCCTAAAGTTAATTAGATTGTTAATACTAACCAAAATTTATTGTAAGAACGCTAAGATGTTTGACATTTGGATGTCAACAAATATCCTATTGTTATTAAATAAAAGGAATTGTCGGAATTTACTACCTGAGTTAAACTTGAGTTAGTAACTATGTAACTCATGTTTACCCCTTCGTCGCCTATCTGTAAACTAAATAAATAAATAAATATTTCCAACACTCACACCAATTAGCCTAGCCCCAAAGTAAGCACTATAAGGCTTGTGTTATGGGATGCTAGGGTAACGGATAGAATACATATACTGTACACATATAAGTATATTTATATAGAAATAGATATTAAACATCCATGACTGGAGTACAAATGCTCGTATTCATCTGAAGCTGCCAGGTTGTATAGGGAGCAAGTACAAAATGGCGGTGGATCTGAGCCTGAAACTTGGCCTGACCATCGAATGATTTTAAGAGTCCATAACTCTTACATGGAAGGGCGTTTACCAAGATCGGGGCGTCCACGCGAATTGCAAGACCCAGATACCGTCGAAACAGTGCTCGAAGAAGTGGCTGGAGATCCATCCGTTAGTGTAAGAACCCTAGGACATCGATAATAGCGTTTATTCAGCTAAAAGAAAACTTTTTTAGAAGGTGCAGAATATGTATTGAGCAGTTACTTTTTGTTTCGTTTAGCTTCCTCTTTTTAAAGATTTTATTTTTGTAACTAAATTCAATTTTTAGGTATCACACAATACAGCGAGTTCAAAAAATCTTCTAAAAATTTAACTTAAAAATGGTAGAATCTTAGCTTTTTTGCAATCATTTTCGATTAGTTAACAATCTAATTAACTTTAGGAATGATAAAATGCCAAAAAAACTTCGATATCAATAGGCTAATTTTAAATTTTTTGCACCTCACTGTCTTTGAAGTCCGATTTTAGCAAAAGTAGCCCTTTAAGTACTCCTTTTTTTTAATGATTATGGAAGCTGAAAGTCTGGCGCAGTTTTTAAACTAACTTAGGAGCTATGAAACTACCTATTAAAATTTTAAATTTAAAGTTAAAATTTTAAGACGTAATTCTCTGACCATAATTTTTTCACTTTGCACCATCATTTTTTAAACTTCCATCATAGTTACGAAGACAAAGGTATTAGACATTAAAGTACAATTCATGTAAATTGAGTTGCAAAAAAAAATTCTCGAAAAAGTCATCCAATTTTTTTTATAAAAAAATTAAGTTATTTAGGTCAATAATTCTCAAAATTTTAGTAAAAAATTCGTAACTCGCAAACTATCAAAAATCGCGGAACATACATGGGGGTGTTTCGGATTCTCCAAGGGGGGTTCTATCTCGGGGCTACCGCTTGACACTATTTTTTGGGACACCCTGTCTCTCTATATCTCTGCCCAATTTTGAACCTCCAGTATCACCAGGTATTGGTCCGCGACCCCGCCACGCCCCACATCGCGTGCCCCAGCGTGCGTGCCGCGTCCCCACTCGCACTATATATACCCATGCATCATACGTCCCCACTCACCGCCTCGCGCGTCGGCCGACAGCGCCATCAGCAGCAGCGTTGTGGCCCGCGAGCACTCCCTCCGCAGCGCCCGCGCGGTGGCCGCACCGAGCACGGCCCGCACCCGCGCCCCGTGCAGCCACGCGCGCGACCCCGCCACGCCCCACATCGCGTGCCCCAGCGCCGCGCCCACGCACCACTCCACCGCGGCCACGCCGTGACCCAACTGCGAAAACCGACTCTTCATTATATACGCGAAGGATAAACTTCTGGCAAACATTAGGATTACTATTCTCGTCTTTTCTTCATAAATGTGATATGAGAACATTTGGAAATATTTAAATGCTTATTTTATTTTTTTAACACCTTAAAAATCGAACATAACATCGAACTTAAAATTGCCCTTAAAACTCCGGATGATATTGAGACTGCGACCAAGTATATTACCAACCTCATCCAGGAAGCCTGTTGGAGAAGTACACCTGAATGTCAACAAGGGCATCGGTAATTACCCTCTCGAAATAAAAAAGGCTGTCCTAGAGAGACGCAGATTGCGCCGGATCTGGCAACAGAGCAGACGACCGGTGGATAAAACGAACTTCAATAAACAGGCCCACACCTAAAAACAATGCTACAAAGCTGGCACAATGATACCCTTGAGGAACAACTAGAGTCCCTTACACCAACCTTGGCCACTAATTACTCACTGTGGAAATTCACAAAGCTGTATGACAGACCACAAATACTAAAACCACCTATCAGAAATAACGGTGACTGGGCGCGTACATCACAAGAAAAGGCAGACCTATTTGCAGAACATCTAGCAAAAGTTTTCAGGCCGAACAACACAGGTGACACAGAGGCAGAGAATGAAGTAGATTTAATTCTTAATCAAACTCTGCAAATGTCGCTTCCACCTACCCCAGTCACGGTTCTCGAAGTTTGGAAAACTATAGGGCAACTTAAGAACAAAAAGGCACCTTGATATGACCTCATTACAAAAGAAATACTTGTTAAACTTCCAAGAAAAGCAATTGTATTCTTGACAATGTTGTATAATGGAATACTGAGAGTCCAATATTTCCCGAATCTCATGATACACAAGACTGGGAAGCCAACTGATGAGGTAAAGTCATACAGACCGATCAGCCTGTTGCCTGTCTTGTCAAAGGTCTGTGAAAAATTGCTCCTACGCAGAATAATGCCAGAGTTAGAAAATAGCAATACCAGACCATCAATTTGGATTTAGAAAGCAACACTCTACTATTGAACAGGTCCATAGAGTAGTGGAAAAAATAAGAAAGACCTTAGGGGAAAAAGAATATTGCTCATCGGCATTTTTGGATATTGAACAGGCTTTTGATAGGGTCTGGCATGCGGGCCTTCTGAGCAAGTTAAAAACATGTCTTCCCCATGGTTGCTTCCCACTTCTGGAATCCTATCTTAGAGATCGAATCTTCCAAGTGAAAGAATCAGATTCAACGTCTAAGTTTTACGAGATTAAAGCAAGTGTACCTCAGGGCTCTGTGCTGGGACCGGTCTTTTACATGATTTATACAGTAGACCTACCACGAGTGGATGGAATCATGACCGCAACGTATGTAGATGATACAGCGATATTAGCTAGTAGTAGCAATCCTCACGAGGCTTCGGTAAATAGGCAAAAGGGACTTAGCGACATCACAAAATGGCTCCAAAAATGGAAAATTAAAGCCAGTGCAACAAAATCGGTGCATGTTACATTTACACTCCGACGAGAAAACTGCCCATCCGTTAGACTGGAGAATATTACACTGCCACAACAAGATAGCGTAAGATATCTTGGACTACACCTGGACCGTCGACTTACCTGGAATAAACACATCATAAAGAAAAGAGAGGAACTAAACTTAAAACATAAGAATATCTACTGGATGCTAGGCCGGAACAGCAAACTATCAATGGACAACAAACTCCTAATATACAAATTAATACTAAAACCATCCTGGATATATGGTATCGAACTTTGGGGGAGTTCAAGCAAATCTAACATTAATATACTCCAGAGGATGCAAAATATAGTCCTTAGAAAAATAGCAAATGTGCCATGGTTTATCACCAATTCCGAGATCCACGAAAATCTAAATATGACCACTGTGGTAGAAGAAATACAGTCTGTCACTAATAAATATCGAAATCGGCTCGAAAATCACCCAAATACACTTGCAACCAGACTCACTACTCGTGACTATGTGATACGTCTGAAGAGAAGGGACATATTACCATAAGCTTTTTCCCGCATATAATTAATTACGAGAAGATATCCTCAATGGAGGATACGCTCGACATGACAGCAACTTTCATGACATCTGCTTTTAGTAAATTACTGATTGCAGATAAACACACAATGAAAAAAAAAAAAACTTGCAAAGTAGGATACGATGGTCAACCTTGTCGAAGGCGCTGCTAAAATCCGTATAGATTGAGTGTACCTGACCACCATGATCCAATACCATACTTAAAGTATTCACATAAGAAAATAAATGAGTTGATACAGATTTCTTTGCCTGGAATCCGTGTTATCTATCATCAATTAAATATGTTTCTTAGGTTCTTAAAATCATTATTCTGACGGTGCAGACCTGAAAAGGCTGCGAAACGTCAATAAATAAATAAAGTTCGTGCATTAACCCGTTAAAACTAGTTTTATTAATTAAATGTTTAGTATGCCCAACAATCAAAGGAACTATTAAGGAATAATTATCTTTTCATAATTTAACTATTAGCGCTTGGTCGTTAAGTAGGCTGCTGCAGGCTGCTGAAAATCAGTGTGCCACGATGTTGCCTCGACATATACTGAGCATGTGGCCTGTTTGGTACAAAATCTGTACTAATATAGAATTACTAGCTGACCCAGCGAACTTCGTACCGCCATAAAATTAGGGGCTGGTGGTACAAGGGTGAAAATTCAGGGTTATATGTATTTACTAATGCTGTATCTTAAAAAAAAAAAAAAAAATATCTAAAATTGAAAAAAAAAATTTAGGGGTGGATTACCCTTAACATTTAGGGGGATGAAAAATAGATGTTGTCCGATTCTCAGACCTACCCAATTTGCACACAAAATTTCATGAGAATCGGAAAAGCCGTTTCGGAGGAGTTTAACCACAACCACCGCGACACGAGAATTTTATATAATAGATGTATATAATAACCAACGCGACACGAGAATTTTATATAATAGATGTACTGGACCAATTTTAGAAATGCTTTCACCATTTGAATGCTACATTATCACTGATAAATATAGGCTAAAGTGTATTTTCAAAAAAGTTAGGGTTCTGTATGAAAACTTTGATAATGTAACCCAAAGTGCGTAAAAAATACCAAAAAATAGCCCTATATCGCGTACGCTGCGGAAGTCATTGTGAATAGTGCAAAGTGATATACTAAAGTTTTATAGAAGATACCAATATCTACAAAAAAGTCCGCGATACCATATGTCTAGCTATTACAGTTATGTCACAACTAGAGCGGTTTCAACCGCGTTAATTTGAAGAAAAAGGTTTATAGTGAGTCAAACTTAAAATATGGACATAAGTTGTCGTGGACTTTTTTACAGAACTTTTAAAGGGGAAGAATTCCGTCATACATGATTTTTGTGTAACTTTAACCGTTTACCCAGCGCACGGAATCTCACAAATGGAATATTTTTACCCGTTTTGCAACATTTTTCATCGATGCTCCGCTGCTACCGGTCGTGGCCTGGTAACATATGGCCTATAGCCTTCCTCGATAAATGCACTGTCCAATACATTTTTTTTAAATCGGAACAGCAGAGCAATGTAGCATTCGGTACAACGGGTTCTAAACTACGCAACGATTCTTTTACTTGGAATGGAATGTTTTTATAAATACTATGAAGGAAGTCATTGTGTATAATACAAGCCTTTGAATAAAAACTATAGTCTTCACCGAAGCAAAGCGAGGGCGGGCCACTAGTCATCTATAAGTAAAACAATAAGTTATTTTTGTAATATGTGCCAAATAAACGATTTTATTATTATTATTCTCTATATTCATTGTTTGCATATTAATTACATTTACAAATCTTAAATAAAAATAAAAACATTTAAAAATATAAAAAATAGAAGCCAACCGGCACCGGGAACAGGGTCCTAGCTACCGGTGGTTAGGGCCCCAGAGAAAGGAACCTCCTCACTATGCGAGCCGTCTCAAGGAGTACTGCCTTCTGCATCAGGCCCTTGACTCAGTTACCGAACTCGAGCCTCCGCAGATGACAGACGAGGCTTTTGGCTACTAGGCCATTGACCGTCACAATTATCGGCACAATGATAGCCGAGTCAACATCCCACATGGCGACAAACTCATGAACCAAGCTAGATATTTTTTTTGTTTATCTTTTTCGGCTTTCGAGAGGTTCTCGTCATGAGGTACGGTCACGTCAACTATCAATGCAATGCGCTCTTCCCGATCTATCATCACTATATCAGGCTTATTGGCAACAATAGTCCGGTCAGTGATGATAGATCGGTCCCAGTACAGCGTGATATGACCAATTTCGAGAACTGGGCCGGGCACATACTTGTAATATGGCACCTCAGAAGCAACAAGGTTGTATTTCAGGGCAAGTTGCTGATGGATAATCCTGGCCACTTGGTTGTGTCTGTGCAAGTACTCGCCGTTAGACGAGAACAACCCGAAACAATATGCCTAATTGATTCACCAAGACAGTGACATGCTCGACATATGTCAATCGTCCCATCTTCCAGGATATACTTTCGGTAATTGTTCGTCATTATAACTTCGTCTCCAGTTGTATAAACAAAACCTTCGGTTTCTCCAAATAGGTCTCTCAAAATAAATAATAATAAAATTATTATTATTATTCACTCTCGCTTATTTTATAGTTAGTTTTTTTATAAAATTGATATAAAAGTAAAATATAAAAACGTAAACACAAAAACAAATAAAGTATAAAAAACCTAACCTAGAAGGCCACCAGCAGCGGAGCTAGGCCCAAGCTACCGGTTATTATTATTATTATTAATGACTCGAAGACCTTTGAAATGGCTGACAGTATTGAGACAGGCATATAGTTAGAAACGTTCTCTCGAGTCCCCTTTTGGAATATAGGAACAATACGCGCCTTTGTCTATTCTTTGGGAAATACATCATCACCTAAAGATTTATTAAATATAAATGTAATAGAAAGTGCCAGAGATGAAGCACATATTCGAAATAAACATTTATATGTTCATTTGATTCAATCTTTTTAATCAGCTACTTCTTGCAGTATTGCTTAAAATTCCAAAAATATAAAACCTTGATGAGACCCGCTTTCAATTAAATTAGTTTTTTTTTTCCCTAAAACAAATTCTTTTTACATTACTATTCTAGTGTGTCAAATTGGCCATTATAGCGTATCGCGATCGTGGCTATAAAATGCCCGTGAACTTGGGGTAAGAAGATCACTAATCAAGTTGCGTTTGCTGTAAATTGCTAAATATTCAGTAGAATCCTCACGGGCGAATCCCTTAACCTTGCCACAAACTAAATAACCGCCGCACTCATGCAGTCAGTTCATTTCATCACGCACTTACACTGACGTTACGTTTACAGGCATTGTGACGCAGATTCAAACAGATTTAATTCACCGCTAGCGACGCGTGTTATCAAAATAAATAGCGGTATGTTTAGATTAGGAAAAATGATCGAGACAAAAAAAAATTGATACACATAGTATAAAAACGGTCTTAAAACAGAACCTTGTGAAGTTCACAACTATAAAAATTTGGGTACTAATTACCTAGTTAAATTTAATTCAATCGGCAGTAAAAGTGTATAAACATGTATCAAATTGATTCATACATTAATAAAAATTTCTGAAAATAAACAGTTGAAAACTTGTAGCTTTTTTAAGAATTTCAAATAACCAACATTATCAAAAGCTTCTCGAAATTACCAAATTATATTTAAAGGTTTTTGTCAATATAGCTAAACCACAACAAGTGTTTTAAGTATTGAACCTTATATTTGGCCTTGCACCTTAAGAATGGCTAGAAGAATTTCGACGCGGCCCTTAGGGCCGCGGTAGCATAATAAAATTGATCAGTGCAATCGCCCGGATAGCGAAGGGTGCGGGCTCGAGTCCCGTCTGCTGCCTGGTCCGCGTGGATTTTTTTCTAGTTATATTTTCTTTAGATTTAAACATCAAGCAGTTACATGCTTAAAAAATAAAAATTATAACATAATTGCTATTTCTTCTTTCAAATGTTTAATACTTGTAAATATATTCATTTGACATTGTGGGTTACCTACAATGGGAAGAGATGGCACTGCCTTGCAGCTTAAGAATGGCTAGAAGAATTTCGACGCGGCCATCAGGGCCGCGGTAGTAATTAAAATAGTTAAGTTTTTATTTTATAAAATGCATCCACATCCAGACTTACCTTATCAAATGTATTAATGACAGCTTCTTGTTCTTCCTCAGTCAAATGTTTCAGCAAGATAAAGATGATATCGACAATTGTTTTAGAACACATTGTGTCCCTTAACATCCACTTCATTAACACTTTATCATAAAAATCGTGAATACTGGTCGCGGAGAAATGCTTCGCCAATGCCATATACAAATGTTTACTATCAAATTCGTTCAATATAGTGATTAAGGGCATTAGTACTGCATCGGAAACGTCATTTTTGTCAGCGTATTCAAAGTAATTGCAACAGATTTTCTCGACAACTTCATTCAAGTTATGGTTATACCTTTCCATGGTGGCAGCATCGACCTCCTGCGTAGGAATCTTAGCTTCGGTTTCGTTTGGCACATCGCCATCAAACTTAATGCTCTGAACCTTTTTACCGTCACTCAAGAAAGCAATTTTTAATGTCTGCAGGAGTAATATGTGCCCTTCTACTATCTGAGTGATGTCGCCGCCGTCCGGTTTTTCAATTTGACTCAAAACTGTTGAGCAGACGTTTTGCCAAAAGTTTCTAATGAGTTGATCATATTTCTCGCCATTCGTCTCTGTAGACTGTTTTAACCAGAACTTCACTAAAGCTGCCATATTGGTAGCAGAGTGTTTGATCAAGTTGGTTTTAAGTTGTCCTTCACGTTCTGAGGAAAGGGCGAATTTCAGCCAATTTCTGTGAACGGCTGTCGTCACTTCTACGGCGAAATCGCTTTGTTGGATGGAGAGATACCTCAAACATTCGGCTATACTCGCGATCCAGTGTTGGCGTTCACTTTTCGAAATCAATATGCTTTTCTTTTCTAAGCTGAAAACAGTTTGGTGTTACATTATTTATGCATTAACTTTTGTTTAAAATTTATATACGGTGCGGTGTTCTTACCCTTTGAAGAATGAGTTGAAGAAAATTTCGTAGAATTCTTTAGTCAGCATTTCTGGAGGCAAGTGTGCCAACAACGGGAGAAGCATGTCGGTAAGCCGTTTGGCATCACCCCAACCACCTGGTAGAATAAATTACATACAAAAGTGTTGTATTACTAAAGTATTATCGGGTAAAAATATTAAGTTTTGAGCATCATCAGAGTTACCTTTTTCTAACATATCGAGCATTCTTTTCATAAGTAAATCTTTTCTGTCCAGGTATTTGTGCCAGTCCTGTGAAAGGGATATACAAATTAAAATAAAGTTCAACAGTATAGTTTTAAATTATTTTTCCTGAAGTGTTTACTGCAAGATATAAAACAGAATGTACTTCTAGTTCTATAGTATATAACTTTTTTTATTAATTTTGACTTATAATGTGTTAATCTTATGTCAAATTCGATATTTCTTGCGGCTGGAGCATAAATCGGAAAGTCGGGAGTCTCGGAAGTCAATCGGAATTTGTAGGTTTTCCTTGTGACTCAGACAACTGTCTCGGTTTGTTGTTATGGGCTTTTCGACACCTGCCCCTCTATGGGAAAAATTGGCAATTTTCTTCCCCATTTGTAAGTTTGTTTAGACAGATAATTTGTAGATATAATATATATGGTTAGATCCTTCTCACCGGCACACTATGCATGAACTGCAACAAGCAGCCCCAGACGAAGGGCGCGAGCGCGGGCGGCGCGTCGTGCGCGGCCGCGAGCACGAGCTTGAGCGCGCGAGCACCCGCCTGCGCCGCGAACGTGCTCGCGAACCGGCCCGCCACGCGCGACACGCTCGCGAACCACGCCGCCCTACGGGATACGACCAGAAGGCTATTAGATATGTGTGTGCGAGCAGCGGCGGCACGCTTTCGTAGCCGCGTCGTACACTGATTGTCATGAAAGATTTCGATTAGACGATCTCTGCGCGCATAACGAATGCCGAAAATATTTCTTATTATTTCGCACTGGTATGGTAAATATCTTCAGTTACTCACAAAAGGCATTCCAACTCACATTTTTATTAGATTAGACTAGACAAAAGAGTTGGGTTAATATATTTTGTTGTGTATGTATTTCGTTTGACACAATAAATTCAAAATTATTAATGAAACATTTCTAGTTCAGATTTTCAATAAAATATAATTCCAGAAGGATTTTAGAGAACAACCGTGTATAAAGCGCATTTTTTGAAGTTATACTTCTTTAGCCGCGTTATGAAAAAATTATGAGAGTGAAATTTTAAGATGCGCGCGCATCACTGTAACACAAAAGTAACATAATGAAGTTAGCCGCGGGTGCGTTATGAAAAAATGATGAGAGTGAAATTTTAAGATGCGCGCGCATCACTGTAACACAATAGTAACACCATGAAGTTGGCCGCGGGCGCGTTATGAATGTTAGTTAGTGGTTGTATTAACTTAGTGGTTAATAATCCACCATTATTATACATCTGTTCGAAAGGTACTTTGAACGATCCACGGAGCTCCATAAGATGATCGCGTTGTCAAAAACAATGTTGGCACGCTCGTCGCCTCTGATCACTGTTTTCATATTTATAATATTTATCCACATGTTTCTAGTTTCTATATAGACACAACGTGTTTTAGTTACTTACAAGTGCTAATTACATATGGACTAATAACTTAAATTCAGTAGTGATTTTAATTGAATATTTTGAATATTTATTTAATTTTTCAAATTAAAACTGAACTTAATTGACTGTGTTAACTATCCTTTTCCAGTCCTTTTATTATTTTATTGTAATTATTAATTATTTTCATGCAATTAAAAAATATTTTTAATGATGCTAAAGAAGTATAACTTCTCACGCGTGTACATAAGTTACACGCATCCATTTTTTTTTGTTTCCTTTTGACTCATTACAGATAGCGTAGTCGCAACGTAGGGGTTTTTGATGTGTAACATCTTTCCTCTCGCTTTCCTTCAATTTCTGGGAGTGATTTCGTGAAATGGAACAGAAGTGTGTAACAGGAAGTTGCGAATTCGCGCGCTATGTCGTGGTACACGACTTTTCTTTGACGACGTGACGTCACAGACCGGCGATCACGCAAATAATATGTCAACAATAAGTACAAAACTTATGAAATAATAGGTAGCACAATTTAACAACCATTAATTACGAACGAACATACATTTTTGATTATGTTTCGTCTACGAATTCATTCCTGGAATCATTGCTGTGTCTGAAAACACGATCATAAATAATATTTCATTGTAAAAAGTGTTTATCGTAATATCTTCATAAATACCGAACCAAATTACGATTTAATGGTATCATTGCATTCAGAAAATTATTCTCATTCCATTTCACGGCTTGTTTTCAGTAAATATGAAAATCACATTTTCAATAAAAAAACAACAAAACCAAACGTCATGTGACGTCATGTGTGCATCTCGAGAGTCGCCCGGTGACACTCCTACGAGGAGGCTGTGTCGCTCGTCACCCAAATCAGTCCGCGGTGTAGAACATTCTAGTGGCACTATGTTTGATAGGCCGATTACCAGGCCAGGGGGATGAAGTGGCACACCGCCATGCCCCTTAGTTTTTAGTTTTTTATGGCCTTCTGCCCTTACCAGAAATATCTATTGAGTAGTTCATGTAAGTAAAAACTTAATCTCGCGGCCATCGTGCGTGCACGTGGTGTGACATGGGGTCACCCACGCCCGATTCTTCGAGTCTTCGGCTTCACCGATGGGCTCAAATGCCCATGAGCTCCTTCCTGAGGACTGCGACGTCAGCCCGTAGACCCCCATCATCAGGGTGCAGCATGCTGTGACGTCAAGGGTTGACGTCCTGAGGCATCACCGCCATCGTCGCTTCGTTCAACGAGGGAACGTGGTACGACCAGTGATGTGTGTCGAACAGTGAGCTCACGTAGTTATTTCCCTTATTTTTCGCAAGTGCACGCGGGTCCTTCCTCATCGCCACGTATCCCATCTGGACCTTAATGACTTTTCGGGTCGACAGATTATTACATAGCATCATTATTATTATACTTTAAAAACCATTGTTCCGCTGCGGGCCGCCGCCATGTAACTCGCGAGATTATATTAATATAAATTGCATGTACCAAAATCCGCCATTTTTGATTTGATTTCCCACGCTACGGCCTTTGTACTTCAATAGTTCATTGCTGTAACCGAGAATTTTATCCCGGTACCTTATCAGCTGGGTATTAAGTGAAATAACACTTGCTCGTATGTAAGGAGGTTCCGTACCATCAAATAGTAAGGTAAAGTAAAATATTTCGATTCCATTCTTCTTCTTTTACATACAGCCTACTGAACCAATTATAAATTCTATTTTTTTCTCTTTTACATACGACAGCTATTTGATTTGATTTTAAACATAATGTTCAAATGGCTTATTCCTTTTGTAGTAGTTTTTATTTCCTTTTTGAAGTTATACTTCTTTAGGCGCGTTATGAAAAAATGATGAGAGTGAAATTTTAAGATGCGCGCGCATCACTGTAACACAACATTTTACATTTGACCATGCGTTACTTTTATGTTTACCGCACATTAAGAAAATCTACCAACAAAATAGAAATAGAATCTCTATTTAGTGGGTGCTAACGACTGCATTGTGAAGGCCTATCAAAAGTATTTATTAATCTGGAACAACGGAACCAAAGCGCCATCTCTTGACCATTGGTGTAGTAGAACCAAAAAGCACATCTTTATTTTTTGTAATAAAGTAACAGTTATAGGTATTCATATTTATAATATTTATCCACATGTTTCTAGTTTGTATATTCGGAATACGTGTTTGAGTTTCATACAAGTGCAAATCACATATGTTCTAATAAATTATATTCAGTAGCGATTTTAATTGAATATTTTGATTATTTATTTATTTTTTCAAATTAAAACTGAACTTTATTGACTTTGTCCTTTTCCAGATTTTTTATTAATTTATTGTAATTAATTATTTGTATGCGATTAAAAACTAATTTTAAACGATGCCAAAGAAGGATAACTTCTCACGCGCCTACATAAGTACACGCACCCATTTTTTTTTACTAATGTAAGGTGAGGTTTCAAATGTTACACATCATACGCGACTACTGTAAAGCTCGCTCGTTGTTTTTATTCTTAGTGACTAGTTAATTTTTAACATAATTACAAGTGGCAGCACTTAGTATGATACCTACCTGAGTGGTACCGACGCGTTGCTGGCGTACTTCCAGAAGGCGTTGGCGCCCAGCAGCGGCTGCAGCTGCTGCCACAGCCAGTCGTGGTGCTCCTCAGGTAGATGCGCCACAAAGTACTGCAGTCCTTGCAGGCTGCTGATCACTAACCGTTGGAGTTGTAATTCGCGCTCCTCCGCCTCTTCAGCCCTGCACCATTCGAACCCGTCAAGTTTTTTTAGTTTCAAATTGTTAAAATATAAAATCAACAATTAAAGCCCAGATTGTTAATATAAAATAAAAAAAATACTGAAAAACACGGATTTATAAAGATAAAAGAATGTATTTCTATTCAAGACTAAATAATGACTTAATAATGTAATGCTCACGGTTTTATGAGGGTTTTCTGTGCGTTCCCAATGAGAGTGTCTATTAGATGTGCCATGACTTCATTCTTGCAAAACGATATGACCTCTGGCAGCTTATTCTCAGGGAAGGTAGCCTGTGTTTACATAAATAAACAAAATATTAAAGATGGTGTAAGCAATTCATTAAGGATAAAAAAAACAAATTCAGCTATTTGGTTGGAGTTTTGCTTTCTGTGTCTGAACATCTGTTTAGTGTTGAGTCAACTCTTTAATTTTCAGAATGGATTCACTTCGACCGAAATTAATAGCACAATAAATAAAAATAGAATACACGTGCAGCTGCTTTTTCAGTTACTGGAGGGAGAGGGAGAGGGCCTGTGTGCGAGGGAGAGGGTCACCTTCAGCGCATGTTGCGCGTGCGCAGCAGCCGGCGCGTGCTCGTCGTACTGCGCCTGCAGCCAGGCCGGCACCAGCCTGTCTGTGTGTGAGGGAGAGGGAGAGGGAGAGGGCCTGTGTGCGAGGGAGAGGGTCACCTTCAGCGCATGTTGCACGTGCGCAGCAGCCGGCGCGTGCTCGTCGTACTGCGCCTGCAGCCAGGCCGGCACCAGCCTGTCTGTGTGTGAGGGAGAGGGAGAGGGAGAGGGCCTGTGTGCGAGGGAGAGGGTCACCTTGAGCGCATGTTGCGCGTGCGCAGCAGCCGGCGCGTGCTCGTCGTACTGCGCCTGCAGCCAGGCCGGCACCAGCCTGTCTGTGTGTGAGGGAGAGGGAGAGGGAGAGGGCCTGTGTGCGAGGGAGAGGGTCACCTTCAGCGCATGTTGCGCGTGCGCAGCAGCCGGCGCGTGCTCGTCGTACTGCGCCTGCAGCCAGGCCGGCACCAGCCTGTCTGTGTGTGAGGGAGAGGGAGAGGGAGAGGGCCTGTGTGCGAGGGAGAGGGTCACCTTCAGCGCGTGTTGCGCGTGCGCAGCAGCCGGCGCGTGCTCGTCGTACTGCGCCTGCAGCCAGGCCGGCACCAGCCTGTCTGTGTGTGAGGGAGAGGGAGAGGGAGAGGGCCTGTGTGCGAGGGAGAGGGTCACCTTGAGCGCATGTTGCGCGTGCGCAGCAGCCGGCGCGTGCTCGTCGTACTGCGCCTGCAGCCAGGCCGGCACCAGCCTGTCTGTGTGTGAGGGAGAGGGAGAGGGAGAGGGCCTGTGTGCGAGGGAGAGGGTCACCTTCAGCGCATGTTGCGCGTGCGCAGCAGCCGGCGCGTGCTCGTCGTACTGCGCCTGCAGCCAGGCCGGCACCAGCCTGTCTGTGTGTGAGGGAGAGGGAGAGGGAGAGGGCCTGTGTGCGAGGGAGAGGGTCACCTTGAGCGCATGTTGCGCGTGCGCAGCAGCCGGCGCGTGCTCGTCGTACTGCGCCTGCAGCCAGGCCGGCACCAGCCTGTCTGTGTGTGAGGGAGAGGGAGAGGGAGAGGGCCTGTGTGCGAGGGAGAGGGTCACCTTCAGCGCATGTTGCGCGTGCGCAGCAGCCGGCGCGTGCTCGTCGTACTGCGCCTGCAGCCAGGCCGGCACCAGGCGCCGCAGCACCGCCGCTAGGCGACGCCCGCACGCAGCAGCGAAAGATCCTTGGCACATCTGCGTAAATGTGGATCATTACTAGGTCAGCAAATCAACTTAAAATCAACAGCATAATGATCTCATAAGCTTTTTAATAAATATACTGTTTAAATCATCGAAATCGGTTCATTCGTTGCGATTTTATAACTAATTTTATGGTAGCTAATTTTCACCCATGGCCGAAACGTGTGACGTCACATAGCTCGATTGTGGTTCACTAAGGTCAAAACCTAGTAGCGTCTCTACGCATGGTCACGCCCGAGCGCTAGAGCTCTACGACGTCACAGTTACCATGCGGCCAGCCGAAAATTCGTTTAGTAATTTGGTCATAACTTCGTCAATATTTGTTATAAAACAAAAATCTTTAAATCTACATTCTCAACTAAATTGTTACGGATCTTCATTGCGATATTTGATTATATACACGTCTAGATACCGTAATATGGTACTGCATGGAAGCATGGAAGCCAAAAAATATCATCTACATATGGTAGATATGCTTGTTGCTACACACATACACATTGACTGCTTTCAAACAATCTGACCTGAGAGTCACGCACACATTGCGCGAACATGAGTAGATTTCCTTGCGTGGTTTATTTATATATCATTTGATTTTTTTTTATTGAAATTGGGCTCTGCAAGCAAGTAGATAACTTGTCCATTGAATAAGGGATTGGCACCCTTGTACATTCTGCCTCTTAGCTTTGCATTTTAGGTATATTTTTATAGTAAATCAGGTAGTTGAACTTATATATATACTGTGCAATGGGAAAGACTGCAAACACACTTAAATTGGTATAGTCAGACACTTAGTCGGGCCGCACACCAGGCATAAATTTGTAACTCGATAATTGTAGCGCCACATTTGAAACGCGACACATTATTGTATGCGCTACAAATGTATTGTATATGCGCACATCGGAAGCACAGTTGTAGCGTGGCACCGCAAAGCAATGTCGACATCGTCGTCTGATGACGAAGATTTCTTGATGTGGCGATTAATGAGAAAAAAAAGACATTATTGGGTTCATCCGTTTAATCAAGATTGCACAATGTACGGGAATTTCAAAATTTCGCAAGAATTACAATCCGATGAAGAAAAGTTCCAGTTATATTATCGAATGTCTGAAAACACATACAAGCTATTATTAAATTTAGTTAAATTAAGTTTAACAAAACAAAATACCCACTTCAGAGAGTGTATTTCGGCTGAAGAGCGTTTGCTCATCACTTTAAGGTATGTAACATTACATATTATTGACTTTCAGACTGAGAAGTCTCGTTTGATTGTTGTGCAGGGGACTCAATACATTCATTTTCTGATTGAAGAATTATATATGGTGCTTGCGAAGGCCTCACATACTGGTTTTCTGATTGAGGAATCTCGGATGCCCTTTGCAACGGACGGTCATCATTTAGACCTTGAGAAAAATTTGTATAAAATGTTGATAAATTTGAATTTGACAAACTCGTATCCAATGATCGACGTGGGAGCTGCCTGTACTTAATGTTTTCTATTAAGTCCAGTACCCCTCTTTGAAAGCTTAATTGCTGTTGCTGGGACATGGATGTCATGTGTGGAACTAAACTTAAAAGAAACATTTCACATGGTTCTTTTGGTTGTTTCTCAGATTGTTTATTATTTTCCAGTCTTTGTTTTTTTAGTGTAAAATATTCAATAGTACATCTGTCTGCTTCGTTCATGTGCTTCCGAGATTTTGATGGTTGAGGAGTCTGTATTGATAAGCTCGAAGAATGGGGACTGGGTACAGACGAACCAGCTGCAGGAGCATTGCATTGGAGCCATTGACGGAAAACATATTAGAATGAAGAAGCCTATAGCCTCTGGATCTTCATACTTTAATTATAAAGAATATTTTTCTATTAACCTTATGGCGTGTGCAGATGGATACGGATTATTTACGAGTATCGATGTGGGTGATTATGGGAGGAATAATGATTCAGGAGTATTTAAAATTCCGCATTAGGCCGAGCATTAAATAATAATACTTTAAATATACCTACGCCACGGCCTTTGCCAGGTGAAGAAGAATTTGGACGGTCATTTCCTTATTACTTTGCAGCTGACGAAGCATTTCCCCTGTCCACTAATATAATTCGACCATACAATAGTAGATTTTTAAACAATGATCGCCGAATATTTAACTATCGACTATCCCGTGGACGAAAGATTGATCCGTGGAGATCGAGTGCACCTTTGGTATGCTAATGTCTAAATTTCGAATTTTTGAAACTCCAATTTCATGTTCAGTCGAGAAAGCAGTCAAAATTGTTAAAGCTGCTTGTATTTTACATAACTTTATGAAAAAGAATGATAATATAATTTTAACTCCAACCGAAAACGGAAATATACCTAACCCCACTACCAATCATATGAATCAAGGGAGACCGAATAACGATGCTACAGAAAATCGAAACTATTTGTGTAATTACTTCTTAAAACCATACGGGCTGGTGTCATGGCAAAATAATTACACAGTGTAGCACGATTTTAAAAGTACAAAGAAAGGTAGGTACCTACTTACTCTTTTCATTGAATTTTTCGCCAATCTTAGTCCAAATAATTTCTGTAATCCGTCTGTTACTACTATAATCATTGAGCGTGTGATTGTATAATACAGGGTTCTTTTCAACCTCTGCAATAAACTCAACGTAAAATTCAATGTTGTCTTTCATTTTTGCAAACCAACGCGACACAAAAAACGAACGTGTTCGATCTTGAATTCGTGTAGCGCGGACAACGTCGCGCTACAAAGTGCGCCCGCCACAAATGTTTCCTCGGTGTGCGTGCTCACGTACAAATGTATGGGGCCGTTAAATGTGTCGCGTTTCAAATGTGGCGCTACAATTATCGAGTTACAAATGTATGCCTGGTGTGCGGCCCGACTTATAGTAACAGTCCGAAACACCCATTACCTCCTAAGGGCTGTGAAGGTTTATTTATTTCCAAACTTATTAGCTTAATTTTTTATTAAACATTTGCTTAACATAACTCAGACACAGTAAAGTTGTTGTTTAATATGGTTTTCACTAGTCTACCATATCTAGTAAATATGTTTTTGGATGTTCTGTTCACTTAATACGGTACCTAAGTGTGTATATAATGAAATAATCCAACCATTCTTAGTAAACTAATTTTAAGTAACAAAAATAGATATGCTTATTTATAACGGAGGTTTTCGATTATTTATGTAAATAATATCCATGTAATATAATTTTCTGGTACTATTACATATTAACTTGTAAAGCTAGCTCAGCTGTGATACATACTTTTTAATTTTAATAGGTACATGTGTATGTACCGCAGCTGCAATTTTTATTTGACATAATTACATAAGCAACACTTCTTTTCACACTGACAGTAAAATTGTATTATTGCTAGGTTTACCAGTCCCTGTACGCTTATGAGTACCACAATTTACATTATTTCATGTTTTTATCACACCTAACTGTCGATTTCTATAGTAATTTGACAATTGAGTGTGATAAATTTGAGCTATATATCATATCATGGTGATGAGCACCATAATAATTATGATATATAGCTCAAATTGCTAGGGGGTGCTGATTTAATTAAATGATTATGATTAGTCAATAAACTTCTGAGAACTCACCTGTGCCATTTCTCGCACCTTGCAGTCAGTATCAACTGACAATATTTTGTAGAAGTGGGCCCAGCTCGGTAGTACTAACACAACATCGTCCACTTTACTACTGCCGACTAAATCGCTTAGTTCTTGGAGTGCCTAAAATAGGGTAATTATATTTTTTCATTTATTTCTGCAAAAACTTTTATTACTCGCAAATTTACATAGAAAAAATTAAGGTAGTACCTACAATCATTTACTTTGACTAGTGGTTTGATTTATATTAAGCTGTTTCTTTAATTATGATAAAGATGACGTAATTATGATAATATTTTGTAAATATTATGTTAATTTGAAACTGTAAAGTTTATTTCACATGCATTTTTTCCACAGCGAAAAAATTACCATAACAAGTTTTCAAAAGAGTTGTTTTATATTTCCAATATGAATAAAAAAATAATAGTATTTTATTCAAATAGTTCAGAACTGTGATATGAAAAGTGTCCACTAAACAAAGTATTGATGAATCAATGTTGCGCAATATATCTTTATATATATAATTCTTCTGTGAGTGTGTATGTCACTGAACTTCTCTTAAACGACTGGACCGATTTTGATGAAATTTTTTGTGTGTGTTCAAGGGGATCTGAGAATGGTTTAGATTCACAATTTTGTCCGCTGGACAACCCCTATTTTTTTAGGGCGGTACGAAGTTCGCTGGGTCAGCTAGTAGGTTTATAAAATACCTTGACTTTTGTGACAGGGTCTTTCTTATTAAGTTTTTTAATGCAAATAGAGAACTCTGCTGGGATGCCTTGGTCCAGCACGGGGGTGGCCAGAGTAGGGAACAAAGCTGACATCATCTTTCCCCCCGTAAGCAGGGATGGATCCAGGTTCACAGCATTATTGAGAAGTTCCGCACTCCTACCACTACTCGATGGCTGAAAATGTGTACAAATTCACACATAGACATTTGTAGATATAGATTATTTTTATTGAATATTTGAAAATGTAAGTTTTATGATTCTCAAATGCTGTAGGTACTAGTTAAGTGTTTTGTTTAGAAAATCTTGCTGTAGTTTTCGAAAAGGCTTATTAGAAAAAAATATTACTTGTGTCTAAAATCTACGTTCAAAACAGCTAGTTTAGATGAGATATACAAGAGTGAAAAGTTAAATTTACTCTTTCAATAGGAAAATCAGGCATATGGTTGCTGCAGCTTCATATTTCACCTTGGGATGATAATGAAGTATAATACTTTTCCATTTCAGCAAAGCATAATAAATAACTTTCGTGGCACTTACCCGAACATTATTTTTAGTACGTTGGCTTGATTTGGCTTTTCCACCCATTTTGTTTGCTGTATATTGAATGATAAAATATATTGTAATCAAATTCTGAAGTTCATGTCTGATTTCTAATTAAATTAATGGTGATTTAGATAATTTTCTTTACTAAAAGCTGGAGGAGAATTTCTAAAATCGTAGGTATTATTTTTTATCAGATTTGACATTGACATTGACAAGTACGTTTTTTTACGGAAGGCAAAGGAAACAATTCCCATACAGTCTAGTCTTAAGTCTGATTAATCTTCCTTATTTTTTTAACAAACTTTTATTTTTTAGTTTAGAATGACGGTGTGACGCATTCTAATGTTTCTTGGAGTGTTTGGCACGAAATGTATCGAGTCGGCTTTTAAGATAAGCTTCTGTGAGGTTGACAACACTTCATTATATGTTGATGTTCGATGTTGAAAATAATATTGGAAATTATTTAGCTCGAAGTGATCGCTAATTTGGAAGCGTTAAATGAAAATAAATATTAAAATCACAATGCCTAGTTTCGCCCCACTCCAACTGATGGAAGAGCTAAGCCGCCGACCACGAGCATCGTTCGCTGCATCTCAACTGTTCACCGAATGAGTCAGCAAGAGAAACAAATAAGGCGCATTAGATATTCGGATTGAATATGCGTCTACATATCTGGGAAAGACAATACTCATACTTTAGCTTATATTTTTGTGAATGAAAGTAACCGGAATAATTAAAATAATTATATTTTATATACATATATAGCCATTCTATAACAGTTATGTCCTGCAGTGAATATTGGTTGCCGCAGGCTCCACGGGAGGTGCAGGGGGCTTCATTAGGTTCAGCATGCCCTGTGACCAACACAAGTATCACCTTTATTATCATGGCTAGAAATGCGTAACCGCAAATCTCGCACATCGGGAGATGTGTGACTAAGGCTCTTAGGGCTCCTCCCTGTCATTTCATCCATCTCGTGAGCTCGATTATATGGTTGTGGTCTACCCAGTAAAAATCAGACAATGGTATCGATTTTGGCGTGATTCTCTAAACTTAAAACTAAATTTAACATCAACCTCACCCTTTCATTCCGTATAGAGAATGAAAAGGATACGCTGTTGTCAAATTTAAGTTTAGGTTTCGAGAATCGCGTCAGAATTGACACCAATACTCCTGCAGTGGTTACCCAGCACGCAATCAGAAAGGTAGGGCATAGCGGTTCCAGGGCTCCACGTGTTAGGTGGTAGGGTCAGGGTAGGCAACGGTTCAAGTGATATTTTTTGTATCGCAAATGTCTATAGGCTATACCGCTGCCAAAAAGCAAAACACAGTAAGGTCAAACACAGAAAAAAAATGTCGTCCTGATTCACCTTTTCACGCTCTACAAACCATGCCGCGAGAACATTGTGTTTTTGTTTCGAGCCGTCACATACTGCATTCTTCTGAACTACTGAATACTAAACTACTAAATATTTGGTATAGAGATAGCTGAAGACACGGGTAAGGACATTTTATCTAATAAATACCCTCATAAGGCCGCCACTAGTTTTTTATAATTTCATTTAAATTATAGTTTCTTTTTGGTATATACCTATTCGTTCAGTTCGATAAGTGGAAGGTCTAGTACCAGCAGATGTTTTCAATACAATCATCATCATCATCAGCTTATTACTGTCCCCACTGCTGGGGCACAGGCCTTCCCTATGGATGGAATAGGTAGATTGGGCCATGATTATTATTATTAATTCTATACCATACTAGCTTAAACTTTCTTTTTCCATTACTTTTTTGTGTATATCATTAAATTTTGCTACATTAATCCAATAAAAGCATTAACATATTGTTAGCATGTTGTTACGATTTTAAATCTTCTGTTTATGTTTCTATCAAAACACCGGTTATTCAGCCAGATTTAAAGATGGATGTAAAAAGGTTGATTAAATATGATACAGAAATAGCTCAGAGCAGAACAGTTAAATAGATAAACAAAAAGTCGCTTAATTTACAGTAAATAGGATGACACAATTACAATAGGCACTTAAAAGTGTTCGCATGTGTAAGCAAGTTACTTAGTGTTAAATTGAATGACAATTTATTTAGAAAAAAGATCAAAACCTAGTAAAGGCTAAAATAAGATATAGGTACTGTGTTTTGTGTTAGTTTTCAATCCAGTACTAATGAGAAAGAACAAGGATTTGTTCCATAATAGTTCAACAATTTATATATTTTGTATTCTCTTTAACACTAAAGCGTTTTAAATGAATTATGTTAAAAAAATGGATGCGTGTAACTTATGTACGCGCGTGAGAAGTTATACTTCTTTAGCATCATTAAAATATTTTTTAATTGCATGCAAATAATTAATAATTACAATAAAATAATAAGAGGACTGGAAAAGGATAGTTAACACAGTCAATTAAGTTCAGTTTTAATTTGAAAAATTAAATAAATATTCAAAATATTCAATTAAAATCACTACTGAATTTAAGTTATTAGTCCATATGTAATTAGCACTTGTAAGTAACTAAAACACGTTGTGTTCTTGACCTTCACAAGTGCTTGTAACAGCCTAGACTGAATTTCATTTCATTTCATTTCATTTCATTTCAATGTCCCGTTCAAATCTGCCCTGTTTGCTTTGTTCAAATCTGCCCCACGGTCACTTGGAAAATAAAATATTACAAATAACGCGCCCGCGGCTAACTTCATTATGTTAAAATTTTATGTTACAGTGATGAAAATTTCACTCTCATAATTTTTTCATAACGCGGCTAAAGAAGTATAACTTCAAAAAAAAACAACTGAAAACACAGGCAATTAATTACGCTTTGATTTCTATATAACACTTTAATATACAACGTTTAAATATGCAAAAGACAGGCATAAACACATTTCTGCTCATCTTGTAAAATATTCTAAATGTGGCTTACTGTGTTTTGGTTTTGGGCAGCGCCGTATAGTGGTCGCTTACTATCAGGAGGACATACGCTTGTTAGCTACCCTTTAAAATAAAAATAAAACTCCGAGGACGTAGGCGCCCCGAGTACGTGTTGAGAGTGCGGATATAGACGTGGCACGGCACCCTACAAAAGACTGCCACGCACCCGCGAGTACAAGTAGGTACTTGTACTCTTCTGGGTCGGTACCCAGTGCCGTCTTTGACCTATTGGAGGCCTTGGGCATATTAGGATAATGGGGCCCCTATGACTTCCGTTTGGTAATTTAACAGGATCTAGGGACTTTGTATTTGAGCTGAGGGGGCCCCCTATCGATCGCGGGGCCCTGGGCACTTGCCCAAAGTGCCCAATGGGAAAGACAGGTCTGTACCTTCCTCATATGGTTTTAGTCAGTTAAAAAGATAGTACTACTAAATAACGTAGGTATCTTCTTTGCAGATTTGCAAAAGATACTTAGTTCGCTGATTCCTAAGTCGATTGTGTGAAAACTAGTTTTAGATAATTTAATTTGTTAGCGGTTAAAAATGTGTGTGGGTAATTCGATTAGTTTTTGTTATATACAATGTGCAGTAAACTAAAGCCTACCATTCACAGGCGCGCCAATCCGCCGGATTTGTCGCTGGCGACAAGTCCGCGGACAAATCCGCGTGTGAATGTATTGGTGAGTGCGGCTCGCGGCTCAGCCGCGCCGTACAAATCCGTACGTGTGTGTGCTTACACAGATTTGTCGGCGAACTTGTCAGTCATTTGTAGTGCGTGCACGCAGAACCACCTCTTAACTTGTTAATACTGGATCACGTCTGTATCACTTTTTTGACGTATATGCGATACTGTTTTAAGTCAAAAAGTTGAACATAATACGCATTTAAGTTGATATCAAGTTAATATCATTTTAAAGAGTTGATCATAATACGCTTAATTTGATGTCATTTTGATATCGCATTTTTCGGAGAGCATAATACGTAATGTGAAATTGACATCAAAACAATATCACAATTAGCGAACATAAAGAGCTAATTGTATCTCTTCTACAAGGGGTTTATCTCTTCTACGCATGTCCTCGGCATGAGCACGTTCTAAATAGTCCATTACTAACACGAAACGAGCCGTTTTACTCTTTTTTATTAAAAAATAAAGAAATTTGATGCAGAAAAACCACCTCCTAACTTGTTAAGTCTGTATCACATTTTTGACGTTTATGCGATACTGTTTTATGTCAAAAAGTTGAACTTATTACGCATATGTTGATATCATTTTAAAGTTGATGTCAAGTTGATGTCATTTTGATATCGCATTTTTCGGAGAGCTTAATACGTAAATTGCGTAATGTGAAATTGACATCAAAACAATATCACAATAAGCGAGCATAATTGGCCTGCAGTTGTGTTGTTTGTATCACGAACGAGTAAACGAGTATACTAACATGTCGTTCGGCGATCATAAAGAGTTTTGGTAAGAATTTATCCTGCTGTTTAAAGAGAAAACTAAAGAGAAACAGGTGGTTTACAGGACTGAATGCATTGCAGAAATTTTAAATGAGTATATTTTGTTCGTTGTTTCAGCCATTCCTTTGTTCAGACGCTCTTTTTCTTATTATTCTCCGTTAAAAGTATTGCACCGACTACTAAAGCGACTTTTGTGCATTTGGAAAGCACCGGTGGCATGGTAGGGAAGAACGATACGCGCGAGGCTCACCAAAGTACACAAGCGACTGGACTGCAACTCGGCGCTCGTGTAGTGTGTGGGCAATGACGGATTTGTCCACGGATGGGTACGGCTCGGGGTTCGGCTCGCGGTGCGTGTAGTGAATGGTGGGCTTAACTCGCTCCCGATCATATTCAGTGAAAAATGTCACTTTGCCGGAATCCTGAATACTTAGGTAGGTACACCATCAAAAGCTAGTCATAAATCGCTCTGTTTCGGGTATGGCATAGACCTTACTTATTACGAGCTGCAAATACCACCTCACTACGAGTTCTTAGCATAAAGGTACTCAAAGCTACGAGTTGCAAACATGCGATTTCATTCCTTTCTTATTATGTATGTATGTTTTTCCCTTTAAAAAAATTTAAGGTAAAAAATTTGGGAAAGAGCTCAGACTAAATTATGTTAATAATATTCCAGCTTAGGTGGCCGGATACTTTATTTCTTTTGAAGTGGTTCTCCAGGTTTCGCTATATTTTATTATGAAGTTTACGTACCTACACAATTTTTGCTAAACTCTATTGCTTTCAGAATAGCGATAAACTATTGATATTAATAGAATTGATAGAGTTGATATTAATATATTTTTAGTTGTTGGGTAAAAAAATATCGTATTTGGCTGATAAATTGTATACGTATTAACTAAATAACAATTAGTGAATGCGTCCTCTTCTCTATTTGCTGTGGCCTGTTCAGGGTCTACAATGATCATAGCAATGTACCTACTAAGATCTAAGAAAACATTGTAGAACGCAATAAAGTATTGATTGATTGATTATCTATATATAATTGTATCTTACCATTGAGACCATAATGAGACGACGGCGACGGGATGAGCCGAAAGGATATGGAAATAGGCATTGAAAAACATTAGTTTCGCATTGAAGTGTCAATATATATATTTTTAATATTCATAAATTCAATATACATTATAATATCAAGTAAAATGAATTACTATAATTTATATAGGCAATATTTTAACACATGTTAATCTATGGGTATGTTTAACAATCTAATGTACTTATTTTAACAAATGTCCAGCAACCAGATGGGACTGCGCCTCGTTCACCCACCACGCAATACAACAAACACATTATGGCAATAGGAATTCACATTTGACTTACAATCTAAGTATCATTAAATCTATAAATAGTAGTTTAATGTAGAATTACCAAGGAAGAAATACTTGCAATATTTGTATTGCACAAGTAACTAAACACTGCCACAGTACATAATGCCATTTTATGTAAAAATAAACTTTAAAATTTCATACAAAATTTTATTAGAACCTTAAAATTATTATTTGGCACATAACTAAAGCTAAATTATATCGCTATCTTGGGCGGGGCCGTTATATGTTACAGATGCCCCGCCTCGCACTTACACGAGTAATCTTTGGTTTGTCTAGCCCACCAGTGACAATTTGGAAATCACTTAACATTAAAATATAATAAAATATGAAATAGATCAAACAGGACCAAATAGTTATTTTTATATTACATTTACTTATATTTCTTCTTCACTTTGGGAGGATTTGGCTTGTTACCTATAAAATACTGTTGTGAGTTGAGTTCGAAGAATTGTGCTATGCAATTATGATAACTTTTAAAATATAACATTACTCTCCAAATGACAATGAACGCCCCTTAATTAACTGTGAAACCCTAAATGGTAAAAATACGTATCGTTTGTATTGCATTAATTAATTCGTTGCATAGAAACCTTTGAAAATTAATTTTTCTCTACTTACAATTTACAAAATATAGAAATAATTAGGTATCTCTTAAATTGTATTTTTTTGCTTAGGAACTTTCAGTTCTAACGTACATACTGCTGACATAAAACTAAAGACGAAATGAAATATTGGTGCCAATTCTGGCGTGATTCTCTAAACTTAAAACTAAATTTAACATCAGTCTCTCCTTTTCATTCTGTATAGAGAATGACAAGGATATACTGCTGTCAAATTAAGGTTTAGGTTTAGAGAATCATGCTAGAATCGACATCATTACCGTATTAAATGCGAAAAGGAAGTGAGAAACGGGCTGCGAAGTGTGAATTATGAGATTAAATTAAGTACGTAACTAAATCTAGAACGGACACAGAGGCGTGACGTAAACGCTGCAGATGGATACGAACAGGTAAATCGTATCACAACATATGAAAATACTACTCAGGAATAAACGGAGAGATTTGTATATGCTAGTAAAGAGCTTGTTGGAGAAGGATTTTTGTACGTAACTACAGATAAAATTTATAGTAAAGTTAAGCCTATTGTGTTGATTAAAGAGATGCTGATTATTGTCGCTGTACCACCACGCAGGGCCGCGGCCCCTCCGTGCACCACTGTTGACCCACCTATTTACACATAAACCGTACAATATTTACAATTATCGCTATTTACAACTTAACATTTATTAAGGATTACACGAAAGAGTTTTTTAAACACAGCAGAGATCCCATAGGAGTATTATGGAATGCTTAGAACTTATGTACTTAAGATTGAATCTATCTAAACACTTAGCATTAGAATACGAGAAGCTTATTTTATTTAAATGTTTCATTAACAGATCATAGAATTTCGAAAAGTTTTGGAACCGTCGAGTGTCACTTCTAGTATAAATATCTACGTTCCTTTATTAGAATGCAATAAATGAATAATTTATCAATATTCATTTCTTTATTTGGAAGAATTTTTGGCACTAACTTGGTAACTTAATAGCCAATTGGAATCAAATGCCGCCCTCTTTTCTGACTCTCTTTTCTCAGGTTTAGAGGAATGGTGTATACATATTTTGTACTCGGATCTATGTTAAATTAATGTATCTACAAATCACGTAACTATTAGAATGAAAACAAGCATTGGTAACGATTGTCACTACTATGTGACTAATTATATTGTCAGCACAATTGCTAGCCGGTGAATTCCAGCTTCATTGGAACGTTTCAAGTAAATTTTCAAAATTATGACTAAGTTACTTAGTTTGTCGTAGATACAACTATTCATACACCATATTTTTTTGATTCTTGGATCAGCGACATTGTCCCTCATTATAATAGCAAGCATTTGTATAAAAAATAATAAAATAACATGAATGAGTATTATGCCACAGGTACTGACCTTTGGGATTTTGCAATCAATCAATAATAATTACTAAATACGCGTAAAATATCCACTAATAATATTTTTGGCAACGAAATTGTCCTTTGGCTTTATGGTTCTAATTATTATCATCATCTGGTGCCGATGATTCGAGATAAATTCTTACGATATAGATAATATGACGTTGAGCAACGAGCTTACACCGAAACGAAATAAAATACCGAGCGTCAAATACTTGATTATCGTTAATAGGTTTGGCCGCGACGCGTAGGTTCCTCAGCCGGACGCTAGACGTTTCAAAGATTTCATCGGTTCAAAGTATTTGGCACGGTTTCACCCGGTCGATTGCCGAGGAGTTAAACTATTAAATACAATGCAACGATCTGTTACTCGCTTGATTTAAAATTAGATATAGCTACCGAGTGTCGAGAGCTTGTCCTCTAAAAGCGCATTGAGTTTGAATAAACAAAATCTTTGAGATGAATGCGTTGAGATAAATGACTTGTTTACACGCGAAGTTCTGTCATCGAGATTTGTCGGCCGTTTGTTGGCAAACCTATTTCGTTAATATCAGAATGGAAGAAATCTCATTAACAAAATATAGAAGATCCATCAGATCAGACTACGTTTCAGATAATAACTAATTAAACGATAGAGTATCTGTTCTCTCAGATCCTGTGTGGGAGGTACTTCTACATTTTGTTATGAGTTTTAAGCCCATAAAGACTTAATTTCTATAAGGCTTGCAGATGGCGAATCTGTGGTTCATGTGCTGACTGTAGGAGCCGGAGTGGGAGAACTTCTTGAGGCACTTGAAGCACTGGAAGGGCTTCTCGCCGGTGTGCAGCCGCTGGTGCTCCGTCAGGTGGTGCTTGTGCTTGAACGCCTTCGGGCACACCTCGCATTTATACGGACGCTGGCCTGTACACAATAACAGTTTTGTTAGCATTCAATAAGCCGTTAAACGTGTCTTCATAAGTCAATTTTAATAGGCAACATTTCTATGAAATCAAGTTTAAAAAAATAGGAATTACATAAAGGGTACCAACCTGAATGTTCATATTTGTGTCTAGCTAAGGAACTTTGCTTGACGAAAGTTTTATCGCAAAGATTGCAGACGAAGTGTTCTTCGCCCTCCTTGAATTCTTGTTTCAATTTGTTCTTTTTAAGTACAGGCGCATCTTCGTCGAATTCGTTTTGTGATTCCCTCCAAGAGAGTCGCTCGTATGACGGGCTCGATGCCTGTCGGTTCTCCGGGGGCATTTCCATCTTTAGGATGGGAGATCGCACATGGCTAACGTCGTTTTGTTGTAACAATCTTTCCATCGGCATCAGGTGGTTCATGAGCATTTTCTGCGGTAGTAATCGCTTCTGCCCATTGATCGGTTCGCCTGGCGAAGGAGATAGTCTAAAGTCCGTGAATGAAGACGAAGAGCAATTGGAATGTGGATACGTGTTGTTGTAGGTGGGGCGGTGGGGCGTCGTACTGCGCGACGACTTCTGGCTGAGGTTCACCGCCTCCTCAGAATCGGAATGTGTGACAGAAATGCTACACGACGGGGAGGGGGTCGGGCTCGGAGTCGGCGACTGCGTAGATTTTTTGGTAGACAGATCTAGTGGCTGATCTGACACCGATAATGTCTGAGTCATCCTCCGTACGCGAGCTCTGTTGTTCTGGAACCAAACCTGAACAACTCTATTATCGAGCCCGATTTTCTGGGCGATCCTTTTAAACTCTTCACGATTTGGTCTCGGATTAACGGAATAATGCTCTTTTAGTATGGCCTGTTGTTCCTCGCTCAGTGCAGTTCGAACTCTTATTTTTCTGTCATTATCCTGCAAAGACAGTTTGTCATCACGTTCCTCTCTTGAAAAGTCCTCATCTTCACTCGCACTGACGCCGCTTTGTATTGAAGCTCGCATTTCGGCTTCCAACCTGTTAAGTGCTACAGTTTCGGCTACCTGAGCTGCCAAACCTTCATGCTTTCTAAATAGACTTCCACATACTACTTTTTCATGTTCTAATAAATCTGTGCTGTTGTTGAACGTAGCGTTACATTTCGTGCACCTATGCGCATCTTCAGGTTCTTCTTTTACTATTATGTGGGGAGTCGGCGGTGATCCTATACTGGGACAGACGTTCCCCGAGATGGGTGATAATTTTTCCATATTTGCTCTAAAGAAGTGCTTCGTAACAGATGCATTAACAGATTCTAATATTGTGTTGAAGCCAGAATGGTTATTATGCATCTGGTCGTTGTTGTTTAGGGGGACGGATTCATAATTACGAGGTGACTTAGTTTGGTGTTCGTGGTCTTCTAGTTCTTTTTTGATGGACGTTCCTTCATCTTCCTCGATGTCCATTACTAGTTCAGCACTGCCTTCTGACCTTTTATCGTCTTCCTCGGTGACTTCCTCGATTAAGTCTTCGGGGTCAGCTGGAGGAGGACTAGTTAATTTTGGACTAGTGGGAGGTTCAATTTTCCTTTGTTGATATTGTGATGAAGCTAGTTGTTCGAACAATTGACTAAGTGAAGTTGGAAAACTGTAAGGGGTGATACCACTCGCTGGGCTCATAGGCATGCCTGGGGGCATGTAGAACGGGTTGATTCCAGGCTGCGCTAACGGCGGCCGATGGAAATTGTTTTCTTGCGAAGACATGCTAGCAAAGAAAGCGGCAGCCGCAGCTTCATTGTACTTAGGTAAGATAGGTAGGAAGGAGTTCCCGTTCGGGGCGATGTTGTTGTTTAGTTGGGACGCGACCATCGCGTTGGCGCGTTTTCTCGAAGGACTTCGTTCCGGGTTTAGAGCGGGGTTGTTGGGTTTGATCCTGCCCATCTTGAGGTTCATGACGAGACACTTCTTTGAGGTCATGTGGCTGGAGTAAGAGCCGGAATGCGAGAACTTTTTCCCGCAGTTGGCGCACTCGAAGGGCTTCTCTCCGCTGTGGATGCGCAGGTGCTCCTTGAGGTGGTGCTTGAACTTGAACGCCTTGTCGCAGTCGTTGCACTTGAATTTGCGCAGGAGTGCGCTCTCGTCGTGGCTGATCATGTGCCGCTGCAGTCGGTACACATTGGCGAAGCTCTTGTGGCATATTTTGCACGACTGTTGACAAAATAAAATAACAATTGTAAAAAGCTGTAGGTGTGTAGTAAAAATCTAGTTTTGAATAATAATTTAAATTCACACATGTTAGGAAAACCCCATGCGTCATTGGCAGTTCAATAAACCACATTTCCAAATTTAAATAAATTTTAACTTTCATTAAAGTAGTGATATTATATTTATTGAAGCACTTGTGAGGTCATTTTGTAAATCGTGTGGGCTCTATCTTTCCTGTATAATATTAAAGTAAAGTACTTAGGCTACATTGGCAGCGAATCGAAATAAAACTAAGCTCGTTTCACTCGCTTATCTCATGTCATTTAACACGCAGAGCAAAGCTAAGTGATTAATGGCAGTTTACAGTAACTGAGGTTTGAAATGCAGAAATAATTTTGCTCCCAACGTGGGCCACATGAAGGAAATGATACAGAGTCATGCATTACAAATCCCGGCACCTCGGAGTGTTCGTGCATATATCCGTTATAACAATGGGCACTGACATATCTGAGTGTATCCACCTGAGTGCTGGGCGAGTGCAGGGTCTCGTGTCGCTCGAGCTGGTCGCGCGTGGGGTAGGCGCCGCGGCACTGGCTGCAGGCGTACGGGCCCCCGGGACCCAGCGGGGACCCGCTGCGGTCCTCCTCCTCCTCGGCGGGCTTGCTGTCCGGCCCCGCGGCGCCGCCCTCCACCCCGCCCGCGCCAGCCAGCGGACGAACTGGAAATAAAACAAAATCACTCATAAGAGATTGGGTTCTCTTAGACAACGCAGGACTGATATTGCGGAGATGTTTGGAAGAGCAGTGGGCGCAGATGTCATAATGCGCACTAGAAATTCTTATATAATCAATACAGTACATACTTAGGTCTTGGTCTTGAAGGCGATGGACGGGCGACCATTTATAACTGTTTCCAGTCTTAATCTGAACGGTGAATGTTGATTGGACTTCGTACAAATTGAAAATTGAGAAAGGTGCTTCTGAACTTTCTAAACATTTCAGATCATTATATCGGGAAGCTGGATACCAATATGAGAATAAAAATATGTTACCCACAGGAAATGCTAGTCTTCGAATAATAACGATGCCAGTTATAAAATTGTATTTATATTGAAGACCTTTTTAGCTTGGCAGAAGAGTCACTTGTTTAACAAAGACATTACAAATACGTTTCCACAAAAAAAAAATCGGCGAACACAAGTACCTAATAAAAATACTGTGTTATCATAGAAGGTAATTATAGCCGTCCCAGTCAGTGCAGTACGATCACGTAATCCCATTCCGAACAAACAATTAACCATAGGAACACATTGTCGGCGATTAAAACGGGCGGACACCTTTACTGGCACGGCTCGGCGGCCAGCGTTTTATAAAAACAAACACACGGCAACAATTCAATTTGGCGTCGGTTATTTGTGTAATACGGCTGGTTTTCCCGCGTATAATAACGTTTTTAAAAGCGCCGCCGGCAACGCCGTGGCCGTAAATCAAATATAATAAAGAGCGAAACAACACGACGTATTAATTAGCGAGCGCGCGTTCGTGGCCACGTTCGTACGGCGATGTGGCGGCCGAGGTGCGATTTGGCTTTTGACTGCCCCTGACGTGGTTATCGCATGTAATACGTAGGTTACGCCTAATAATTATCATACGATTATGAGTAATTTTTACGATATGATACTGGAACGCCATTGGAGAGTGCAAGGAAAATATAGCAACCGCTGGCTGCTAAACTTCCATTGTACACATTAGGTATTACAAATTGGGGAGTTTGAGATTAATTCTTTCGTAACCTCCACCTTCCCCAAACCAATGTGGAAGATCTATGGCAACTTGTGGCATTTCCATTTGAATTGTTTTACTTAAAGTATTCATATCAAGTTTTAGATATTAGAGAAAATTATTAAAGTGAGTCTGATGGTCATTGTGTTTGTATTCTTGTTAAATTAAATTAACTTTAGGGAGAGAATTATTAACCCTCGAATTCATGTAGTGCGTAGATTTTTTGAATTTGTATTTATTACGGTAATTCTTTGCTCGAATTTATTCGAGAACAACAAACAAAATACTTATTCTATACTTCTCTATTTGCTTACTGTAACGCCCGTAGCGTTACGACCTCCTTTCTTGTATAAACTCTTTGTTTACGCAATGCCTATGGCTGGCAGTTGTATTAAAAGTACTTAAATGACATGATTTTAAAGATTCCAATAAGAGAACATTCTGGACTTTTTGGCGGGCTCAGAAAGCGTCACTTTAGCAGTTTTGTTTTTCTTGATAAAAATTGTGTTGTGGCGGATGTTAGTGTCTAATAATGGTGGATTATTAACCACTAAGTGTTCGGGAACATGCACAAGTGTTGGCAAGTGAAACAAAATAGCGGAAAGTGTCTTTCGACGTTCCCTCAAGAAGTCCACGGGGAGGTTCCAGTAAATCCCCACAGTTTTACTGAAACATTAGGGAAAGGGGGATTGACTTGACTGCCACTTACTTTGACTTGACTTATTACTTTGACCACGAGTGCTATAGTATTTGTATACCTACATTTAACACTTGACATTGGCTAAATGCACAAGCCGTGCGAAGCCATTTAGAAAATAAATAAATAAATAACATTGTGTCTCATATCGAATATTCCAGACATATTGAATTCAGGCACATACTCGATCGGTTGATGATATTTCATTGTATTTTACTAAATTCAAATACATAAATACTGTTAAAGATAATAAAGTATTCTCATTTTTGTATCTCCAGCTACTTTCCCCAGGTTCTTCCTTTCGGGAAGAACCCTTCAGTACGTATGTACGCCGGTTTTCAAGGTGTCGCCTACTCGGACGCCACCAGGTTCGAATCCCGGTGGGGGGAAATATCATTATGATGAATACGAGCATTTGTACCTACATCATAAATGTTTTTATTTAAAGGTATTTCTAGATAAATTAAATACTACATATGTGTACCTGAATGTATTTTATCCGTTGCATTTGTAACCGATAGCACAAGCCTTACAGTGCTTACCAAAGCTAAAGACCGAAATAGATAGCGGGGATGTACTTCGCGTGCCAAAAGGAAAACCGATGCTCTTCCTTTAGGCTAATTTATTTCTTCGCGTTATCACTCTCCTCGATAGAAGACATCGGTCGTTATCTATACTTATAATAAATCTGTAGAGAGGTCAATTCTGTACATGAAATATATTTTCAAAATAACTATCAGGGGGTGATTAGTGGTCGATACTGATGCCAAAAATGCAATCAGTAAAATTTTTGTCTGTCTGTCTGTCTGTGTGTATGTTCCTTATAGAAACAAAAACTACCGAACGAAACTTGGTACAATTATTCTTCATACTCCTGGGCAGGTTATAGTATACTTTTCATCACGCTACAATCAATAGCAGCAGAGTAGTGAAGGGAAATGTTAGGAAAACGGGAGAAGTTACTCCATTTTTTAAGCTTCCGTCGCGTGTGCAGCCTTAATAAGTTACATAGAAATCATGTATGACGGAAATATTCTACATAAAATTGTCTAAAAAATATCCGGCAACAGCATATGTCTATCTTTTATGGTTGACTCACAATAACACGTGTAATTATATAAATAAAGTCATTGTTTATAGCACAAGCCTGAGAACAAAAACTATAGTTTACACTACAGCTCTACACCGAAGCGAAGCGAGGGTGGGCCACTAGTGTTTAAATAATATCTAACTTTAAAAACGTTTAAATAATATTTAAATTGAAATTGGTGATCTGGGTCCATGCTTGCACACACTATGTTAATATGTCCATAACGAGTGGTAGGGGAAAAAATTTGGACGATTCAAGAGTTGTACTATACATCCAATTTGAATAAAGATATATTGATTGATTGATTGATTGACTCAAAATCCGACACGCTAGGTTTCCATATAAGTTAAAGCAGATCCGGCCTCAATTTAATATATGTATAGTGTGTACGTGTAGGTTGTCTGAGCTCTTCGGCCACGGGGAATGGGTTCAAAAGGTGAGGTCGGTATGTCTTTCTCCCACCTATACGTGACCTCAGATGGGATGAAGTAATTCGCAGACCTCGTATAATAATACTTAAGGTTAACTTATCATAGTTTTAGTTCAGATTGTGAGTTATCTCGATAATGTTATAAAGGATAGACAATAAAACCACAGCGTTCACCTTATGTAAAGACAGAAAAAAGCGTTGTCTTTAATTACCACCAAATTATATTTACAATTATATTCAAAACACCTTCAATAAAAAAGTTAATTAAGTTCTCCTCTAGCTCATAAGATGGCGTTAGTAGTACACAAAACTTTAATTAGATACAATGTTTTTAAAGATTTTTAGAAGATTTTACCAAATAATTATTAATATTTTCTTTTCATAACCTATTAGTTATCAAAGCACAAATGTTATATAACAAATTCGATTGATACATATTTATCACAACTCGGAAGTACCTACTAATTGCTTGATTCATAGTTATCACAACTAACATAAAAACTATCAGCACGTCAAGTCGCCGGCGCCGTGCCTACAAACACCGTGACCCTGGTTAAAAGGCCATAGAGTACCTACCTAGCTACTCATACGAAAACGATACGCAATAGTGATAAAAAATTAACAAGGCTTTCCGCATTCCGTGGCGACGAAGATGGACATCTATCCGGTGCGTGCGTATTTACTTGATCCAAGTATTTTGTAGGTAATTATTTTTTATGTCTATACTAGCTGACCCAGCGAACTTCGTACCGCCCTAAAAAAATAGGGGTTGTCCAGCGGACAAAATTGTGAATCTAAACCATTCTCAGATCCCCTTGAACACACACAAAAAATTTCATCAAAATCGGTCCAGTCGTTTAAGAGAAGTTCAGTGACATACACACTCACAGAAGAATTATATATATAAAGATGATGTGTTTTTTAACGCATCTATTTATTTATTTATTCATTAATTGCATATCACATTTACAGAAATAAGGTGGTACAGAAAAGTACAGCAACCATGCGACGCCCTGCAAGGGTACAGCAACTAAGAAGATTATTATCTATTTAAAATTTACTTTACCGCATAATGTCTCTGCTTAGCCCGATGGTTGACTGGTAGAGAATGCCATGTGGCATTAAGTCCGCCATTTGTTACAAAACAATAAAGAGTATATAAATAAATAAAATACATCATTATACAATTGCACCATCTACTTAATATAAAGAGCATGTGTGCTTGTTAACATCAGAAACAAATACAAACTCTACGTTTTTAAAGGATTTCTTGTCTGTCCATCTATTTTAAGTCACGTTCGAAACATACATTTTGACTACAGTTAAAAAACACTAGACAAATATATAACCGTTTGTCAAAATTCGACACATTTACTTTGTGTTTTACGTGAAATGAACTATTGTCAAATTTAACTACGTCGCGAACAACGCGGCCTGAGTTTATTCATGTCTCAAGTCTCTCTTATATCTACGTTACATTGGATTGGAATAACCCCAGTTGCGTACATGTAGATAATGTTTTTTTTTTCTACATTGACTCGGGTCTGGGTGATTGTGGTTCATTGAGTACCTCACATTAAGTACCTACTTCTGATTGATATGTGGAGTTTTACAAAATTAATATTCAATAACCGTTCATTTGTATTATTTCTTCGGTTTTTAGTCTAAAATTGATATTAAAGTGCTATGTTAGACTATATTATCATAGTAATATTAGTTTAAAACAATACAGGTATATTATCATATCCAAATCTGAATCTATAAAAATACGTCTATGTTGTCGCGTAATCAATTTGTCCGCGAACGAAGTTTTATTGTATTAAATAATTTATTTCTTTAAGACATATCTAATTATCAAAGTAAAAATTGTTTTGTATAATAGTGAAAAGTAAAAATAAGCGACGAGTGCGATATCAATTTAGTTTTGCTACTCGACGATAGATGGCGCTAGTAGTATACATAGCGCGCGGCACACCGCGCTACACTCAGAGAAAAATCCCGAGTCTCTACCTTATTTTAATATGCTTTTGTTAGATTCATATTTTCATTGCATTAATTTTTATTGAGCGGCACATGCACAGAAATCCCTTATATAAGTCCGACAATTTTAAGTTGATTTTATAATGATAGTAACCTTTTTTTACATTTATTATGAATTATGAGACCACAAGACATCGTTGTGATATCACCTATTGTAAATAACTTATTCCATATTATTTTTGTTATAGGGTTGTTGCTCATATCAAGTCGGTAGTATATCGCTATTGATTATACTTAGTTAGTAAGCACTGAACCGTATTTTTTGTATGTCTGAAAACGGTAACGTATTTAATTTAGTTATTCTACTACAATAAATGTCGAAGACGACATCTTAGATAAGCATATTGGGGATTTGATAATAATTTAAAGTAATCCAAAATTAAAAAACTGGTGCATTGTTCAACATTAATATAATAAATATTTCATTTAAAGTAACTAATTCGCAATAAGAAAATAAAAAGGATTGTTTTCTTAATCTCCTTGCAGTGTTTTAAAGAATATCGTCAACAATCCCGCTTTTAAAATTTATTACATAAACGCAACACGCTTAAGCGTTTTAAAACGCTATAAACAATCGTAATGCAGCTATACTGCGCATGAGCACAATAAATATTTACATACGAGCATATATACATAACAAAGGAGACATTTAGTGTCGTTACGGACGCCATTATGCATTGTTTATCGCGGCCGCTAGGTGGAGCGGACTCCGGCACACCTACACGCGCGGCAATCTCTGCGCGCGCGCAACACGGCCATCGGCCAGAGTGCGTCCGTTACCCGCTGATAAAAAACCTACACACGCACACATCGCCCAGCTTCCTATTACTGATAAATAACAATTATCGCTCACACACACAGCGAGCCGCTAGGTACAGATAAGAGATTGATTGTCGATCGCACAGGCCGGCGATTGGACACCTGTATTGTAGGACGCGCGGGCGCGGGGGTGAGCCGTGTGCCACGTACCATATACAAGACACCATGTTGCGCTGCGATCGCGAATGTAATTGTGAGCGGAGAGAATTATTATTGAAGTGTTTAGACGCCGGCCATTTGTTAGCTCGCGGCCGACTTGTCGTGTGATTTACGGCGATGATGCCACCCGATCTTTGTTCTAGCCGGAGTATCGGTTGAGTCGTGTAACGTGCTCAGGCAACAATGTACCTACTGCGCGGTGGACAATTATTATTTATTAGACCCTTAAATAACTTGTTTTTGTTTTCAAATTTATCTAATTCCTTAACAGGTTTCTATATCAGCAGAACCAACAGTTAAATCTGTATTATATGGTCTCTAACATATTTATAATCTTTCGATATTTATTTTTTATAATGAATGTATTCCAACGTAAAGATCACTACGATTTATAAAGACCGATATAAATAAAATAATAAAACACAGAGTTAATAGCTATTTACAATATACTTAAAACACAAACCATTAACATTATGCACATTATTTTTGTATAAAAAAATAAATAGTCTAGTCCTGTTTGTATAGTCTACATTGACAGGGTCCGAACTAAGTCTCTCTTATTAAGGAAATCAATTTGTACGAAAAAAATTCATCGGTGTAATTATGATCATATTTCAAATGTACTCATATCATATAAGAAAAAAACTACCTAATAGTCGCTTGAATAATCATGCGACTATTAGGTAGTTAACATGCGAGTTGACTGATTAAACAGTATTGGACAATATTGAGTAAGCGCAAGTAGGTACCTATATAAATAGATAATTTAGCTACCTACGAGTATGAATATAGTATCTATGTAAGTATATCAAGTCAAATCATTATTTATGATGACACATAGGTACTTAATGTGTAAAAAATAAGATTGATAAATGTAGAACACGCAGCTATCAGTAGAAATTATATCCAAGATTGAATTCGACATAGACTAGGTTAGTTTTTAAAGATGTTTAAACTTACCTACACAAGTTACATATTTTGAAAATAAATAGCGTTAACAGTGGTGCCAATTCTGAAGTGATTCTCTAAACTTAAAACTAAATTTAACATCAGTCTCTCCTTTTCATTCTGTATAGAGAATGACAAGGATATACTGCTGTCAAATTTAAGTTTAGGTTTAGAGAATCATGCTAGAATCGACACCAGTATCTTGTTATAATAACACTGATATCGATAATTATATCATCGAAAATTAATTGTGTTTCATTTATAAAACACTATGTCTATAAAGCGCTTAGAAGTATTTTGTTTTTTTTTCTTTTGTCATAAAATTGATGTTAGTATTTTAAAAAAATAGTATAATCAAATATTTATCAAGCGAACGTTGTGCGCGAAATTTAAGAAACAATTAACTATGACATGTAAGATTTACTTAGGTAGGATAATATGTTCAACAGTATTACATTCATATTAATGTATACCACTGAATTGTTCAGTGAAATTGTGCTATACCTTATTAAAATATTTTATCGTAGGTGTGCGTACCTCTTTTCTGATTCAGATCTCTGTTTTGGTGAAATGGTTAAACTACCATGTGAATCACTGAATGAATCACCAGCGTAGCCAAAGCCGTGTGAATGTTGACAAACGATTAACGCAGCCCGACTCTGTACTGATACCGTCAATTTTGTCTACAAACAAGCAATTAGCGAGTCCTAACGACTAGTTATCGATTCCTTCAAACACTCCTGTGTGTGAAGTCCTCTAATGTATATCTCATGCATATGTCTTATTCTTACAATAATGGTCCATAAGCACAAATTTCTCTAAATATTAGTTAATTTTGATCTGTTATCTGTTTTGTTCGATTAGATTTCCAAACTACACTAAATTAGGTAAGTACATACACGTAGTTAGAAATTTGTGTTTAAATTCACTTTAAGATTAATAAAGATTTGAAAAGATTCTTGAATTAGGTTTGTTTGTGGACAAGTTATCGGAGCCAAAGTTAGTTTAAGATTTTAGTTACATATCACTCTATTATTAAATTTACTGTCAAAGCTATATCTTTATTATATAATTCTAATCGGAGTATGGATATAGTTTAATTTTTTTACACTACTCATTTATGATATTGATATAAGGTTGTTTCTAAGATTATTATCACATTTCGATAGCTTTTAACGACTTTGGTAACTTTAATTTAAATACGTTTTCTCAATAAGTTTCGAACTATCAATAGCCGAAGGAAGATGATGTGCACTGATTTATGATCCACTTTTCACAGTTCTTTTATCGGACTTATAGCAAAGTGGCCGATCATCGTAACTCGCGAGTTTTCCACTCCAGACAGGCGGCACACTCAAAGAGGAAGAATGAAAATAAAAGTATAAAAGGAAGAAAAGCAAATGAATTAAAACAACATAATCATTTACGGTTTAAGACGGTGAAAGCGAGCGGGGCTCCCCTCAGCAAACGAAACTTTCTTTCAAGTCTCCGTGTACCTGTTCCCGAATCTCAAGTGGATGAATTATGTCCCGAGGGAGCCGAGGGGAGATCACCCGACAGAGGTTATTTCTAATGAAGACGTGCTCAAGTTATATTTTTAATGCCACCGAGGTGATTTCGTTTTCACCTGCATTCGTTCGACTGAGATTTCTTTGGGGTAAACTTTGTTGACAAAGTTTCAATTTTGCACCCGAGTCAAGCGAAACTTTTAAGTGCACAAAATAAATGTTTTCACAGATTCGGAAACGATTTCGGAGGAGATCGAGATGCGTACACGGAGAGCACAAATAAAGAGGCAAACCAAAACAAAAAGAAAGGAAGCTTACTCAAGGCCGCGAGCCGCCTGGCCGAGGTGGTGGACGTGGGGACCTGCTTACTCCTCATGTCCGCAAGCCAACCGGCCGCCAAGCTTTCGTACCAACCGCCAACTCCCATAAGCGAGCTGTGCACTTTCATCTAGCGACACGTCTGTTCTCACACGCACTAGCGTCGGCGACGGCCGGCCGCCGTCCGATCGCAATACACCGAGATCACAGCCTCCGCTGACGTCAGCGAGTCCCAGCACGTGCGGGTAGCGCACGGTAGCGGGCGGGCGTCGGCGCGCTACTCACATCGGCAGGCGCCCCACACGTTGGCCAGGCTCCACAGGCGGTAAGAGTAGCTGTCACCATAGCACCCGAACATGCTCTCATCGGTTCTCGCGACCATGGCCCGCGCGCGCGGATGACGTGCTCGTGGCGGCGAGTCGCGCGGCGGAATGAGCTGCGGCCCGCCTCTCGCCCCGCCCCGCCCGCTCCGGACCCCCTTCCCCGCGCCCACCCTCACCCCGCGCCCGCCCTGCCTCCCCCTCGCGGCCCGCCCGCCCGCTGCCAGCCAGCGGCCACCGGCCCCCACCCCCATCTATACTTAATTAGTGAAGCCGTCGAGCGCGACTCACCGGCCCTAAATAACGATACACAATACCACCTTTGCACTGATTGCCGAACACCTTTTTTTGACCGCAGACTGCTGCCTTCGCTCGTTTGTTTACTTCGTGACGCAGGTGGCTCCACCTTCCCGCCGTTTATCTACCTGTCTCTATCTACCGGTGCGATAACACGAATTCTATCAAATGTAGAAAGTAAGCGGGGTTATTGTCGATTGATTCAATATTTTAATATGAGTTACATCGAAAATCAGGAAACAGTAAATAAATTTATTTATCTTTATGTAACATAATTATTAGTAACAATGAAAAAAATATTTACCATTTTATTAGCAATCAAGAATAAATTACTTATTAGAGCTCTACATTTTCCCGAAACGAAAAAATTCACTGTACTATCACCAGCTTACAATTTTAGTTGAGCTTTCGGTCACTAGATGGCGCTGTGCGTCTGAACTGAATGTCGAGCGCCGCCTCGTCGGTCGGCGAGAGATCGGTGCCGGTTTTGCTGGCTTCTGTGAATTATTTTATCTTGACTTTTATGTTAGTACTTTAAATATGACTAATATGGTAAGTGATACAAATAAGGCCTAATTTCAAACACTCATATCATGATAAAATATTCGAAGAAGGTGATAAATAAAAGCAAGGCATTATTCCTTGGTTCATAAATTTAAGTAATTATGAAAACATAACAATCTGAGTATAGTATCTTTGATGTAATTATATTTTAATAGACTTTTCCGCACTACAGGCCTTATTTCAGCATAAGCCTTATTTGTATCAGGTACCTTATAAGACAATAAAATAATGAATTATTTAATTTATATCGTGCTTACAATAAGAAAAATTTGTTTATTATAATAAAAACTATTCTAAGTAATAAAGAGCAAATAACACGTATGTAAGTTCTTCCATGTTTTTTTTTATATGAGACGTTTATGGACAATATTGTAGGTATTTAATTGATTTGTTCATATTTATAAAGACCTGAGGACTCTTCACATATTTTTATTCCCACTGTACAATACAGTGCCAGATAACTTTACTGCGCAAATAGTACAAACTCTAGCAAAAAAAATATCTCTTTCTTACAACAATAATCGTATACAACAATTATCATAAGAATGACACGGCAATAACAACATTAGAAGTCTCAAAAAATCTGCATTAATAAAAGAGATTCAAGTGTTTTGGGATAAAAGCGACAGAAAAATTGAAACACTCAAAAGTTAGAGACTCTGTTTTAACTACTCAAAAGGTACTTTAGAATCGATCAGCATATATATTATTATCGTTGTGAATTTTTCGGTAAAAACGATAAACTTCAAGTCGAGTGTGAATGAGTTTTACTGTTTTGACCCATGACCTTGTGTTTAAATAAATTTGTTTAAGATTATTGTTATGACAAAATGTTGTATCACAACATATTACGATTTAAATTTAGTTAAAATATAGCAACCCATTCATATAAGAATATTTACTTTTTATTTATTGGCATGCGTTATGTTCAATAAAATAATTTATTTAAATTATTATTTTTTGCAATAATTTAGCGGAAAGTTTTTGATTACATTGAATAATATTTGTAGGGTTACATTATTTTTAGTAATATTTCGGGCGTTAATGGCATTTCTTAAATTTATTTCTACATTAAAATATTATTAATACGAATGTTTAAAAAATCCACATGTAACGAAGGTACGTTTACGCCTGCTACGTTTTTATTAGTGAAGATACATATGTATTACTATATAAAAGTGTTTAGAGTAAAAAATATTTTGCATTTTGTGTGTAATGTAGGATACAAAGGATATACGTATATTGGTAATATACATAATCGCATAATTACCCATTTTAAACGATCAATACCAAAGTGTATTACGATTAATTTGTCGTAATCTTTAATAAATTTTAATACGTTATTCTTTGAAGTTTTGTTTCATGTAATGTATACGGATCCCAATATAACTAATCAAAAAGTTGACTAAGACTTTAAATTTAACTTTTCAGAATATGCGAATTAAATACTAATTTATAATTAGTACCAAAGCTTTCGTGTGTGATAAAGACTCGAACTTGACTTTTTTATTTTACTAACTCAACGTGAGGTGTATGACATCTTACAAAAACAATACAACGATATTATAAAGACGGGAGCTTTGTGCTCGGAGGTTGGGCAGAGAGGTTGTAACCATACACCGCTGTTTCTAGTCACTTTCGGATTTTAATTTACAGCTCTAACTCCTCTCAATTAAGGTTCATTGCCTGTCCTTAGCCATAAATTAGTGACTACGCAGAGACAATAGCACCTTGTATCCACGTGGCCCGCACGTGTAGTCGACTGCTGAATGCTCAATACCACACCTAGAGCGAGGGAACGGCAGAAAAAAAAAAACAAAAAAGGATGCGTTTCGTTTCGTTGCTTGCGCTCGCGAGAACACAAGACAATGGCTGTGTAGGATACGTATTCTTTTCATTTTATTTCTTGGTTTGTGAAAATGAAGAAATAAGTGAAACAAGCGTCATGGTATACAGTAGCCAGTGTTGTGATTATTGTTACGTACGTATGTAATTTTTTTTTCACAAACAGTAAATCTCTTCGGCCTTTATATATTAGGAGGTACTTTATAAGTAGAGTAAGTTTTTATAAACATTTTATAATAGAACAAAAATATACATTTATAAACTAAGCAGTTTAGTGCTTAAAATAAAATTCACTTTACTATCTTCTTATATATTATGTATTTTTGTAAAACATTTTAATGCATTTATCATTTTTAGGTAAGCTTTCATATCTAGTCGAGCAGACTTTTTTTAATTGGCGATTTAATTTCAATCCCGACTGTGAGATAGGTGCAATATCAATTTCTAATTGCTACTTTTTAACTTATGCTTAACTTTATAAAGTGCAATTTCGTGATAATCTTGAAATACACACAACGTGGTGCAGGAAAATGATACGAGTTTTATCTTCTATATTCACCCACGCGGCACTCGGTTCACATCAGTGACGTATTCTTGTATATTGTATATATGTTCACTATGATATTCACTTCTGCGTAATTCACACTTCGTACTGATTATGTTTGTATGTGTGTGTGTGTGTGTGTGTGTAGGTAAAACAAATGAACTTTGGAACAATTTTAGATTTTGTTTTTAACGTTTTATTAAATGTTTTCCGTTTGCACGTGGAGTTGGTTAAATTTAATCACAACTTGTTTACTTGCAGAGCATCCGGCAAATGAAAGTCCAACCATTTAATTTTATTATTAATTATAGTAAGGTGACAGGATTCACTTAGTTTTTTTTAAGTGTTTAATTTCTGTTTGCTTGGAAATGAGAGAAATAAGATTAAGACTATTTTTTTAAAACACACCAATTAGCCTAGCTCCAAAGTAAGCACTGTAGGGTTTGTGTTATGGGATACTAGGGTAACGGGTAGAATACATATCATCATCATCACCAGCCTATTAATGTCCCCAATGCTGGGGCACAGGCCTTCCTTATGGATGGAATAGGGAGATTGGGCCATGACCCACCACGCGGGCGCAGTGCGGATTGGTGGGTGCTAACGACTGCAGATGCAGCCGGGACCAACGGCTTAACGTGCCTTCCGAAGCACGGAGGAGCTCGAGATAGTAAAGTTTTGGTCACCCATCCAATGACCGACCACTGCGAAAGTTGCTTAACTTCAACGACCGCAGCCGAACGCGCTAACCACCTGCGCCATCGAGCTCCTCACAATAGAGAATAAATATATTTATTAGTATATTTATATAGAAATACATATTAAACATCCATGACTGGAGTACAAATGCTCGTATTCATCACACAAACATCTGCCCCCACCGGGATTCGAACCTCTCGAGTTGGCGACACCATGAAACCCTGCGTACAAGCCACTCGACCACGCAAGTCGTCAATTATATCAACAGCGACTATTTAAGACCGTGTCGGATTTCCCGCTCGAACTGGGGCCTCCTTCTGGACGTCTCACAGTGAAATAACACTAAGTACTACGACATACTGGAATAGAGTATTTGAGAGTATTAAAAATAAAGTACCTACCAATTGTTAGCATCTGTGTTTAGAATGAATAATGGCAGGGGTTTTTACTGTTTTTACAAAAAAATATATTCATAATTTTACTAAAAACCCACGAAAAAGATAATAGTTTTCTTATCTATTGTCACGTGACCCAAAACGCTTGGGATTGGCGGAGCCTAAAATGACGTCACACGCAAATAAACTTCCGGTTAAAGTGACTTTACATTGTATCGTTTGACGTTTTAATAACAGTCGTGTGACGTCACACACTAGTAAGACGCCATATTGTGCAGAAAAACGTTTTCGCGGCAACTAGAAAATGGAGTTTTTGATTTGGTTATTTTATTTTTACTGAAATACACAACAGAATGTTGAATATCCACTTTTCACGGACTCCATAAACATAAGTCAATAACGTGAGATCGTTTTCTAAAACTTGTCAAATACCCTATTCATTACTTCAATTTTTGCTAGATGTATTGTTATGGTACAGTATTGATTAACTTTATATATACAGAATTCCACAGAAACCTGTCATTTTCCCGGGATAAAAAGTATCCTGTGTCCTAAGTCATGAAATATATGCTTACCAAAGTTTATCCAAATTCGTTCAACAGATAGTTTTTCCGTGACTGAGTTATAATCATACAAACACACAAACTTTCTTATTTATATTATTAGTAGGATGAAAGTTGGCTGACTTTCATAACCGCAGATGGACCGCACTCACCATAGCCCCATCGGGTACATCTCCATCCTGGTCACGAAGTAAGTCAAAGTCAAAATCATACATTT